TACCTTAACACATGTGCAAAACCTGAAGTCGATTCTCTAACTAGTTCACGAGTTATTCAACTTTTAATTTTGCATGAATTCTTATGGAATCCTACTTATAAAATATATTGATACTAACGTTCTAGCACTTACAATACCTTGAAAATTTAATGAATTGTTTCTATTTATTACCTTAACATATGTGCAAAACCTGAAGTCGATTCTTTAACTAGTTCACGAGTTATTTAACTTTTAATTTTGCATGAGTTCTTTGCAGTAGCAGCATATTTTTGTTTATCAACAAAATGATAAAGAAGCAGTATTGTCAATATTCTGAAATTTTGTTTGTGAGGAAATAAAATATTAAGCAATGTTTCTAAAAAAAGTTCATATAGATTCACTAACTCATTATCAAGATATTAATTGATAAAGCAACGCTTGTCACTGTTATTCTAACCTCATATTCAGCTACGAGACCGCAAGGAGTACCAACTTAAAGTGACGTGCGGTATTAGGCACTCTATTTTGACAAATATAAAGTGCTAGAAAGGCAAATATTATGTTAATGACATTTGTTTATATATTTTGTAGATTTTTAAGTCTTTTGATGTCTGATATATACATTAAATGTTATCAATATGTGTTACGGTTTTTCGTTTTTTGCAGTTGATTTCAGGTGAAATTCACATCCAAAAGTTTATTTCCGACAATCACAAAACTTGTAAAATATATAAATATATGCAATTGTGTCATATATTCAGTAGTGTCAAATATCATATTTTCTGATTATACACGATATAAGCACGATATGTTGCATATCTTAATTTATAAAAGCATAGAATTTCATCATTTTCAAATTTCAGTCACTTTTGTCTGGGATTGTACAACCAGAACATCCTTAAAGATAGAGCGGGATTCTTAGCTAGAAACTTTCTAAGCAAAAACATCTGTTATGGGGAAAGGGATCTAATTGATAGCGTCATCGAATTAGAGAGAACAGAAAATATAGCGAGACTAAGACAACCGGCGATCAAGAAAGACATATTATCGGAAGCATGGATAGCGGTTCGCAAATTAGAAAAGAAGTTAGGACCGAGCAGAAAATTCGAGATACTGGATATGAATTTCGAAGACACTACCTATATAGCAAAAGTAGATATCAATACAGGAGAGTATAGAAAAATAAAGGACAGCACAGATAAGGAACTTAAAGAAAACATTGACAAAAAACACGGAACTTCGAAAGACGCTGTTGTAGTTTACACAGACGGCTCAAAAAGGGAAGAGGGTAGTGCGACTGGCGCTAGCATAGTTTTTCAAAATCAAGAAGTGGCATATAATATTGGTCTCCCGAAAGACTGCTCAATATATACAGCGGAGGCGTTCGCTATAAAGAGTGCGTTAGAAGTAGTCTATGAAGATAAGAGTAATAAAGGAAAGGATATAATTATATTATCTGATTGTAAATCGGTACTACAAAGAATCGAAAGCAATATTGTAAACGTATATACTAATAAGTATATCTGTGACATCAGAGCCAAAGCGAACCAAATAGAAAAAGAATATAAAGGGAAAGTCCTATTCATATGGGTACCAGCCCATTCAGGGATTCATGGCAATGAAATAGCAGACATACTTGCCAAGGAAGCGACTAAAGGAAACCCGCGCGAAGATATAATAGTACCATTAGGCGACTACAGGCAAAAATTTATAGAGGAAATGTGGGACAAAACTATAGAAAAGATAAAAAATGAAAGTAAGTTTAAGGGAAAATTCTATATGGAAAATTTTTATAAGGAGAAAGATAAAAAACCATGGTTTACAGACATAAACAAAGAAAGATATTTTGTTACGCTTATAAATAGGATTAGAACAAATCATTATAATTTAAAAACTTCGTTAGAGAGAAAGGGATATATAAATGATGCTATGTGTGAGTGTGAAAGGGAAGAAGAAAGCTTAGACCATGTTGTATGGCGCTGCGAGCGATACAGAGAGGAGAGAAAAAGATTGGTTATGGAACTAAGAAAGCGAGGCATAGTAGGGGAGACAGCTGTAATTGAGGTTATCAAAAAGTGTGACTGGAATACCTTTGAGTGTATGCTCAATTTTGTTAAAAGCATAAAAAGGATTATATAAACGGTTTATGGAACTCAGAGTATGTGTGTCAAATAATTGTACAAAATTGAAGGCACAATAAATCTCTTAAAAAAAAAAAAATAATACGGGCTTTAAGTATGTTCCTGCAACTGTGTGAAGTTGCGTCTTCTGCACTTTGAATAAATTTTTTTTTCTTTGCTGTTTATCTTTTCCGTCTTTCTCCTTCCAACGACCGATCATGTATTTGTCCCGTTTTAAGTGCAGAAGGTACACCGTAGTGCCACTTGAGGTGCAACTGTCGAAGCCACTCTGCCACTACACTACTGTCAGAGTCAGCTGTCAAACCTGTGCGGGGAAGAATCTGACGATCAAAGGCAAAAGAAGAAGAGGAAGAAGTAAACGTGCGGGATGTCAGGGAGGCCGATCGACGACCCGACGACGACGACGCACGTCAGCCGAGAGATGGACCGCGCGAAGTGAAGTCTCTCCTCTGTCTTGGCTCGCGAACGTATTGATGACTGCCTAACTCCCGAGTGTTTCGTTTACAATCTCGTCCAAGCTGCTTCTTGAACATAGGGCGTACATAGGCGTGTAATAATCTATGAATTTAGGCGTATTCAACAGAGTTAATCTCAAGGTGCTTACATCTGACAAATTGTATCTCGTTCGCTTAATTAATATCCTTATTTACGTACCTCTGTCCATTCACATTTATTCGTAATCATATGACTTGTACGTTTATAGTTTTGATTTTATCTTATATTTAATGTCTCTCTCTAAATTTTTATCGCCAAAAAATGGGAGTAGCTCGGTGTTTACGTGTTTTTTTTTCTTCTTTTTTCAGGATTCCCAAGGAGGGATGTATTCAGAATGGGCCTCACTGAGCACTCTGATCCAACAAGGCTCGGAGGAGAGTCAGAGCGTGCTGGAGAAATTCCCGCCTGGCGCGGGGAAGGAGGTCGCGCTGTCCATAGTCCGGCAGCTCGCCGCGAACCTCGGTATCACCCAGGCGGGAGAGCCTAGCCCGCTCTCCACCGATCGGGAGGTGCAATGGTGCATGGAGGTTATATGTTTCGGCCTGTCGTTGCCGCTGGCCGAGCACGACACCGTCAGGGATTGCGTCAACATATACTGCGAGTGGCTGTCCGCCCTGTACTCGACGCCGAAGATCTCTGTGCCCAGACCGATCGTGGACGATCCGAATTTCTACGCCAGAAAGATCATAAGCCATTTTCACAATCTGTTCGTACCAAGGAAAGGCGAAGGTAAGACTTGATTTGTTTTTTGACCTAAGAAAATGCTTGCTCGATCCTTTTGATAAGACTCATTTTCTTTCCCAAAGTCTGGCCTTTTCTGTATCAGGATCTAGGTAATACATAATATACATATCGCTCTTCTCTGAAAGCTCTAACATTTCTATCAATTTGCAAGATAGTTTTCATATCAATATTAATATCTCTAATACATCATAAATATATTTTCAGGTACAGACACGATAAATCGTCAGGCTGTCCTGTGTCATCGGGTGCTCAGGACTCTGCAGCAAATCGCGAGGGGTCCGGCGACTCTGGAGAGAGAAACGTGGGAGAGTCTGCTGTTATTCCTCATCGGTATCAACGACGCGCTGTTAGCACCACCGGCGACTAGAGAGGACGCGGGAGAGCAATTGTGCGAGAGGGTGCTCGGTGTGTTGCTAGAGGTGCGGAAACACTCTAGTCAATCAATGATACCGACATTCAACGTTGAGCTTATAAAATATTTACGATATTTATAAGTAAGACACATTTTACGATTCCCAGGTCTGGCTGGTCTCCTGCGAACGCAGTTTTCCTTCACCTCCGTTATGGCGAACGTTACGAGAGTCCTGTCTACGGTGGCGTCACAGATTGGCCCTAGTGGAGCAGTGGAACCGCGTGTGCCTCGCCCTCACAGCGAGGCTGCTGCACATCATGTACGGGCCAATGTTTCCCGAATTGAAAATAAGTATGTTAATAGATCTTTGAATGGACCACGCGTCTATTAACAAAACTTGTGCGCATCGTTTGTATTACGATATACATATATACGATGTACAAATAATCTGTTAATATAGGCGAGGAAGACACGCAGCTAGTGCCACCCACTATGTCGGACGAAGCGGTGGCGCAGGCATGGTACAGACTGTTGCGTACCATCGGCGATCCCGTGGACCTGTGCAGACCCGCCGTCGTCTCGCAGACACAAGCGTTTCTGCAATACGCTATCGCCAGTCCTAACGTCATAGATCCGTGCCAGCATCCGTGCTTGCAGAGCTTGCCGCAGATATTTCTGAAAGCTATAAAGGGCATAGCGGGCCAGGTAGACGCTTTCCTCGGTAAGTCGAGGCCGTCAATTTAATCGCATATTAAATTCGTAAATCTATCTCGAAATCTGCCTCGAAGAACTACGCGCTGCGACTTGTAAATTGTCTTGTCAGAGGCGAGGCGGTGTCGAATGTATACATTTCCTTGAAATTCGTTTTTCAATCTATGACACTCGCACACCTGTCGGCTTGTTCACGGCTCGTAGGTATCCGGTGGCGGTTGCACGTTGTCGCAAATGTTTTAGGAGTTTCACAGGCATGCTGTTGGGAGGAATGTTGCGTGTCCAACGTTACGGGGAACAGCGGCACCCCCGGCAGCGGGGGTGTCGGATGGGACAGGTCGAGCGGTAGGGATCAGCCCCAGCCTTCTCCCACACCTCCAACTCAGCGCAGACTTGCGAAAAGTTTCAGTGTCACTCCTTCTGCAGTCACTAAGGGTATCTCAGTGCAATACTTTCTCTCGCCGATACGATACTATTCGCTCAATCAGTCAGTTGTCCTCTCTGCCGAGATCTAAAGTCACGGATACTGTATAGCACATCACTTTGTATCATAGCGTTTTCTTTATATTTTACATTCTATACTTCATTCTATACTGTTAAAGTTCTATACTATTAAAGCTTTAATTATAAGACGTACAAGAATATTGTTAATTTTATTAGAGTTTGAATAGAGAGATATTTTATTTGTTGCTTTAAAGCATCCCTGTAGAGACACATGAATATTTGACAGGGATTCCGAAAGCGTCGCTAATCGGATTGACGACAAGCCGTGTGTCCAGTACACCGCCAATGCTGATATCCAATTCCGGACCATCGTCCGCTTCGAGCACCGCATGTAATATCTCACTTTTACGAGATCACGATTACACGGTAGAGAGAGAGAGAGAGTCTTCATTTAACCACGCGATCGTGTGATTTGCAGCCATGACCTCGCTCGGCCAGGATATCAGACCTCCTCTAGCTCCGGGACGACCCAAGTGTAACAGTATACTGCATCTCTTCGGCGAGTGGTTGTTCGAGGCTGCGTTTATCGGTACCGATGGTTGGTCGCAGAGTTTACCGCGTAAGTTTGTCGCTCGTGTGCGCGCTAAATAAAAGAATACTTGATGCGCGATTATATTTTACATGCGACGATCCCCATGTGCAGAACCATCGGGCGCCTCGAAACGTCCGTCCTCGGTGCTCGTGGACGGGCCGAGCTCGCTGCAGGAAACCGTGAGCGACGTACCGTCGACGCTCTGCATAGATCGCTACGAGTCCGGCAGAGCGGAGGCGTTGGGCGCTCTGTGCAGGATTTTCTGCTCCAAGAAAACGGGCGAGGAGATCTTACCCGTGTACCTGGCTAGATTTTACCAGGCGATGTACCACGGCCTCAAAGTCGACGAGGTACCGGTCTGCACGTTCACGCTTCTTGATAAATAGACCTGGAGAGAGATGTAGCTCGACACACTTAATTTGTTTTCAGTCTCGCGAATGTGGCGAAACATTGGCGAGTATTCTGCTGAATTCGGCCGATCTGTTCCGCCTCGATTTGAACGGTATACAAGTCCTGGTGCCGGCCGTGTTATCCGCCCTGGAGGTGGTCCTACCGGAGAAGGATTTGAAGCTGAAATCCAATATAGTATCGAAGCCGGATCTGAGAAGGGCCTCAATACATCTGCTAATATCGATGTTAACGCTGCCTCTGCATTTTCAGGTAAATATATGAAAATGTAATTTATTTCTCTCTCTCTCTCTCTCTCTTTCCTGAATTGCTTCCTGAATTGCAAAATTTATGTTTATAAATTGCCTCGTAATTCTAATTCAATATGAACGTGATCATATAACTGGAGGATATGTGAATATTTTATTGCAGAATCTCGCTATTAAGGAACTTCCGATATTTCCGGGCACAAATTTCTCCGAAAAATGTCCCGTAACTTTTGTACAGTTAAAATCGAGACTCATGAATTTGCTCATAAACGCTTTACAAGTGGAGACTGATCCTCAAAATACGCACATGCTGTTGGGTAAGTAGAAGGATTTTACCATCGATTGAGATTGCTTACGATTTAACTCTCGCAATATATATTTTTGACTGAATTCTTTACGTTATTTATTAATGGTATTCAATCAAATTTTTATTTCTCTCTAAACAAAGTTCATTTTTTGTTGAATTAAAATCTTTTAAACAAAAATCTTAAAAACAAAAGAAATTAATATCCCGTTGAGAGGCAGAAAATTGAGCTTTATGTTGTAAAAGTAATTCTCACCAGGGGCTCTGTTATTGAGTGTACAAGATTCTGCAGCAGCGGAAGAAGTGGAGCAGGTCACACAACCCGACACAGTAGCTAGTGACTCGGCAACTAATTTATTATCTTCAGGTTCGTCCTTGATACTAACCGATATTAGCTTGTATTCGGCTAAGTGCACTGTCCTGAGTTACTTAGTAGTAACTCCTGTTTGTGTCCAAATTTTATAAGTGATCTAATGATCATAGGCATTTTATTTTTTATATTTCACATGGCAAAGCGATATAAAATATCGGAGTATTGAAAAGAGTATTGAAAAGTAATACGACAAAGGATGCTTCTTTAAAATAATAACTTTAGAGCAATAATTTAATAATTATTTAACTAATTTAATTTTACTAATTTTACAAGGTAAAATAAAACTTGTCATTTGGTAGAATTTTTACATGTACTACATATAAATCTATGATCATGATTGGTTTTTCTCTGTGATGTCAATAAGATAGCAAGTCTTAGTTTACTGCCACTTCATTTAATACAATTTTTTAAATTAATATTTATCGCCAGTCTTATAAATGGGAGTACAAATTGGTACAAGGACGCAAATATTCAAATTATGATGCTTAATGTCACTTCTCATCGTATCAGCTTTACACGTGCTTATATATGAGACGTTCATTTCTTATTGTTACTACGAGTTTGTGTTATGTTGTGCGTTTTCGCCATTGTACCGTTTTATCATCGCTTAATATAGTCACCAGCGATTCGGCCAGTCAAATAAGTATATCCAGTGATCAGCGGTCAATTGGCGATGCCTCTGACATTGCGACTCTTCAAGAGGAATGCATTGCGTTCGGTAAATACTGTTTTATCTTGCTACACACACACATTTCATAAAAGCCGCATAAAAGAAGACATTCGTAGAATGCGAATTTCATTTCTGCTTGCTGTTTGTTATCGTTTTTATTGTTCGTTTTTATTATACGTTTTTAAAATTCTTGAGATTTATATTGTATATTCTCTCTTCCTTTTTTCACTCTCTCTCTCTCTCTGTACAGCGTTTGTTGTATACATTTTGTAATATTTTATGTACGTACTTATTTGTACAAAACACAGACCTGTAATGTTACTTCTCTCCGTTATAGGCTTAAGAATTAAATAAGGGACATTTTTGCAGATTCCGCCCACGCTCTTTTCGTGCGAGCAACGTACTTGGTGTGTCACCGTTTGATCTCGTCGTGGAAGACCGACTTAAATATCTCCCTAGCGGCGCTCGAGATGCTGTCTGGATTAGCACGCACGCGCATTCGCGAAACAGGTAGCAAGATCAATGCAGATATTAATCGTGTTTGCGAGATTTAAATTTTGTTACACGTATATTTTTACATGCAAGAAATATAAGTACTTATGTCTGTCTTGTTTCAAATAATTCTGCAGCAAGGAGACTCACAGGTTCGATATCACTGTCAGATAGAAACTGTTGAAGCTCTAACGTTGAATGTTCAACAAGGTTGCGCCTCGATAATGCTGTGTATGTTGCAGACGCTCTGGAATGCAAGAGAGCGGTAAAGTGGCTGTGCGACTACATTTCGTATCAATGTTGGCGTCCACCCCCGGCGCACTCTAAGGATCTCCACTCGTCTATCGTCGCGGCGTTCAGCTGCTTGACAACTTGGCTAACTGCTCATCCGCAATTGCTGCAGGTTGGCGACTTTTTACGGATGATTTTACGAAATTAATCTTAATTGAAATTCGTACATTTATACGTTGATTTCTTTTTTTTTCTCTGCTATTGAAGGACAAAGACTGCTTGACCACGGTATTAGAAGTCGTTGAGCTCGGAGTGTCCGGCACTAAGAGCGTCGGGAAGCCGGGAGAGCCTATCAAGATGAAAGACGAAAAGGAGCTGAAACCCGCGTCCATGCGCGTGAGAGACGCCGCCGATGCTCTTCTTACTATTCTACTGGAACAGGTTTGTTCGCCGAAGTATATAAGATAAAAAAGAAAACGCAACAATCAAAGATATTTAAAATTTAAATTTGAATTCTTTGAATTTTTGGAAGTTCACATTCAAGCTTTCTCATCTAATATTTTAAACGGTTCTTAAAATTTTTTAATCCGAGATCGAAAGCTACTTTTTAATTTCATTTACTTTACGATTATACTTTCTGTGGGTTGACTTTTATTTGAATCCTTTGAATTTCCGAAAGTTCACATTCAAGCTTTCTCATCTAATATTTTCAACGGTTCTTAAAAATTTTTAATCCAGGATCGAAAGCTACTTTTTAATTTTATTTACTTTACAATTATACTTTTTGTAGGTTGACTTTTATTTGAATCCTTTGAATTTCCGAAAGTTCACATTCAAGCTTTCTCATCTAATATTTTAAACGGTTCTTAAAATTTTTTAATCCGAGATTGAAAGCTACTTTTTAATTTCATTTACTTTACGATTGTACTTTCTGTAGGTTGGCTTTTATTTGAATTTCCGGAAGTTCACATTCAAGCTTTCTCATCTAAAATTTTCAACGGTTCTTAAAAATTTTTAATCCAGGATCGAAAGCTACTTTTTAATTTCATTTATTTTACGATTATACTTTCTGTAGGTTGACTTTTATTTGAATCCTTTGAATTTCCGAAAGTTCACATTCAAGCTTTTTCATCTAATATTTTAAACGGTTCTTAAAATTTTTTAATCCGAGATCGAAAGCTACTTTTTAATTTCATTTACTTTACGATGTATTTTCTGTAGGTTGGCTTTTATTTGAATTTTTTGAATTTCCGGAAGTTCACATTCAAGCTTTCTCATCTAATATTTTAAACGGTTCTTAAAATTTTTTAATCCGAGATCGAAAGCTACTTTTTAATTTCATTTAATTTATGATTGTACTTTCTGTAGGTTGGCTATTTTCCAAGTGCCTGCGGGGCGCAGTCGCTCTCGTCACTGCTGGATGAAGTATCGCTGCTTCGGCACTGCAACAGCTGGACGGGCGGACGCGTGGCACGGCAAGCGGCCGTCGAGAGATTTCGTTACTTCGTGTCCGAGAACGCGATCGTGTTGGCGCTGTTAGAGGAACCGTTGGGAAACGATCAGGATCCTCAGCCGACCGTGACGGTTCTAATCCGCGGACCGTTCGGCAGACACGCGTGGACGATGCAACTCCGTCACTTGCCGCGTCATCGATCCAGCATCAGAAGTATAAACAGCAATCCCGGACGACCCTTGCCGTTGGCCGAAGCGGCACCACGGACGGATTATAAACCGAGATTCTTCCCGGATAACGTCGATCGTATTCCTCACTGTAAAGTGTAAGTGAATGCCTGCAGCAGATCTTAAAGGAACTTAATTCAATTTAAATAAAGACTATAAATACATAAATTTAAGTAATTCAAATAAATCAGAATTATATAGAATGTATAAAATTTCTGAAATATAAATGGTAAAATTCTGATTACATGGTTGGATTTGAAATACTTGAATTAATTGCAAATATCAGGAATTTGAAATCGTGTTCTTTAATTTAAGTCATTTAAATAAAATAAATCAGAATTAAAATTATAAAATTTTTGAAATATAAATGGTAAAATTCTGATTACATGATATTCGAAATACTCGACTCTCTGAATTAAATGAATGAATTTGCAAATATCCTAATATATCAGGAATTTGAAATCGCGCTCTAATTTAGATAATAATCTTCATGGCAGGGATGAATCGATACCGAGTCTCGAGGCAGTTATGAGCGACAATGACGCGGTACGAGATGAACATCAGATCCTCGCGCAGCTCTTGGAACGGCAGATAACCCTCGAGTCGAAGTACGACAACGGTAACGTAAGAGTTGTCGAGGACAAAACCGACGAATGCGTGCCGCCCCAGGTTTGTCACGAGTTCCAAACGGCTCGTCTGTTTCTGAGTCATTTCGGCTTCTTAAATATGGAGCCTGTGGAGAACGAGGAATCCAGAAACAGCGGGCTAATCGCGCTTGATCCTACCATCCCTGGATTCTGCACGGAGTTGGAGACGCTGGACAACATCAGTCCGCGAACGTGCGACACCGTTCATATCTTTTACGTAAAAGCGGGTCAAAAGTCTGCCGCCGAAATATTATTAAACGTGGTAAGATATTGTTTTTTTTTTCTATTGATTTTATCGTAGTTTAGAATTTACATATATTATTGTCGTCGTTATTTGTTCTGTGAATCCTTAAAGACGACACGACGTCATGCTAGACATCTTACGTTCGCAGCTGCACGAGGAGAACGTGTCGCCAAACTTCCTGGAATTCTTAAGCTCTCTCGGCTGGCCCGTTTCCGTGTCCGGTCACGCGGGCTGGACGGGCCACGCGTCCACCTCGTGGAGAGTAACGGCGCAGGTGAACGTGCCACAGCCGGCTCACAGCAATCACGGCGGGGCGCTTTACAACGGCGACACTCACGTGCTGTATTGGGCGGACGTGAGCTCGGAAATTGCGTTCGTCGTGCCTACGCAGTCGTACCTCATGCCCAGCTCGGATTCGTTGGAGGAGACCAGTTACAACAGCGACATCAGCAACAGCGGACAAGGTAAATCTCGAAGGCGAGAACACCAATCAAAATACAGATTTGGGAAATGTGTATACTTTTTCTACTTGCTTTTCTATTATTTAATTTAGATTATTTTGCAAAACGAATATGGTTTACTTCCTAAAAACACAGTTTATATGTTTTGTCGCAGCGTGGTTCGAGCGGAGCATCAGCGAAAGCACGGACAATCGCAGCAGCGGGACGTCACAAAACACAACGCAGAATTCTAGAACGATGTCGCTCGACCTGGAGAAACAGCCGTCGAGCTTGCCGACGAATTCCTCGAGCGCCGATCCCATCAGGCCCAGGAGAACGATGAAGCAAGGCGTGCCGTCTCAGACTAATACAAAGATCATGGTCGTGTGGTTGGAGAGTCTGGAGGATCATATCCAATTCCCGATCGGTTTGTTCGCTCTTTATTCGATAAGAAAAACGTCCCGAAACTAACAATTAATTGATTAATCTGACTATATTCATTGTATATTTTATGTTGTCACGCGGCGTTATTATTATCTTGCATGCATTTTCTCTTGCATAAAATCACACGCGTTGATTGGATTGTAGGCGATCTGCTACCTTCCACCTACACCGGACTGGAACAAGCGAGGACGCTGCAAGCTACCGATGTGCACGTTATCTTTCTTCAAGCTCTTGCTAACGGACTGATGCGGGTCAGGTTGCAGGGACCGGTTTCTAGAATCAACTTAGCAACGCCCCTAGTCGACGGTATGGTAGTATCAAGAAGAGTCTTGGGGACTCTAGTTAGACAAACGGCTCTTAATATGGGACGTAGAAAAAGGCTCGATAACGACAGGTAAATAAAATTAAATGAATAGTGAAAAAGTCATACTTTTCCGGTATCCGGTTAATTATATCGTGATTGTATTTGAAATATTACACTTATTTTTAGTCTAAATAAAATGTGCATATTTATGTTTCAGTTATCATCCACCGCACGTGCGAAGACGTCTAAAAATTCAAGAGATGGTACAAAAATATAAGAGAAATTTAACGGAACCAGAGTTATTGACGCTTTTGTTCAGCAGCACGCAAACTTATCAAGTCAAATAGGAATTTTCAAGAATTTCTATGAACTTAAGTTCATAGTTTAATTTCTTTGATATCGTAACAAAGAAAAATTGGTTTTTTAAGGATGGATCTTACATCTCGTGTTATACTAAACGAAGGTAAAGTTATTATCTTCTATTAAAATAGCCGAGAGAGGCGGCTAACGTTTACTTTAAAAAATGTAAATAAATTTTTCTTCATTACAAATTTTAAGTAAAAAGCAGAACAAATGTTTTATATCTGTAATTATTTCTTATCGAAAGATGTGTTCATTGTAAATAACAGTTCTTTATTTTCAACATTGTACTTTTTATCAGATATCGCATCTTGTAAGTTAAAAATAAAATATTTGGAAGATTGCAGTAAAGAAAAATACTAGATAATTGAGTAATGAATGGAGAACACTTTATTTACATTTTTTAATTGCTCTCGGCTTCTCATGAATTGACTTTATCTCTTTATATACATGTATGTACAGAAATTAGATTTCTTTAAATATTTTGAAGAATTTCAATACAAAATTTCCTAATAATAACTCCCGATGACTCTGTACACACTTGTGAAAATAATTTATTCCGATAAGAGAAATGATAAGAAAGCTTTAGAACGTGTTCCGAGTTGTATTTAACTAACAAATTATGTTTACTGATATAAAGAAAGTCACCTATTACAAAGTAGAAAATTAATATACATGTCATAAACGAACGTTTCGGAAGGGGGATATATATTTTTGTTATATGATTTTTTATATGCATAATCGTGCATAAAAAGCTTTATATATTACTACTTGAAAAACCACACAATTGTAAATAACGCTGTAAAATAAATTATATCCGAATTTCGTATATAATTGAGAAAGCTACTTCGGCATATATAATTATATAAATATAAGACAGTGGAAAAAAATGTATTTTGTTTAATTAGCTCTTATCATGTACAATTATATTTTATATACAAAACTTGCCTTACACACATATACTTGTCATCAGATAATTTATAACAGATCGCGTGTTGGAAATCATCAACATTTAAAAAAACAAATGATCAATTCCAAGATCTTGATCGTTTACTTCTTACGCAATAGATTGAAAACTTTATGTATACACGTGTGATTACCTGAGCTAAGAAAATATCTACAGCTACAATTCTCCTCTTGTTTTTGTACATACGGAACTGTAAGATGACTGTCATAATAAGAGATACGTTTGATAAGCTAATCAGAGCAGTGTGTGACTCGTTTATTTTCTTTATCTGTACGATCGCTTCTGAGAAAGATTGCACGCATACATTTTTAAGCATCTCAAATAATAAGAGCGAGAGAAAGTAGCAGTAGCTTGTTCGCATAATATTCAACAATTTTTTATTGGGAAAGGAATATATCAAGTTGTCGCAATGCTCTTGTGAAGCCGGCCCTAATCGGTTGAATCATCTTTCCATCAACAAGTTGATTGATCGCTGTTAGCAAGCTTAGAAAATACTTTTCGCGCCGAGTAATTTCGTTCGCGGAATTCCGGATATAAAGCGTATAATTTCAACGAGAAGTTTTTATGTAGAGAACATCTTCGTGCGTCTTAATTTTAAGAATTATAATCTATTAATTGTTGCTTCGTAATTATAGTCCATTTCAATTATAATCATTGAAATCCATTAACTGCGTCCACGAAAGTTGGGCTCTCATGGACGAAATTAGAAATTTCAGCGTGTTATTTTCAGTCGATAAATCGACCGGACCCTACAATGATCGTTCTACATACTCTCTCGCTTAGTGCACACCCTAAATTAGGAGCAAGCCGTTGTCAGTCAAATCAAACATTACGTCATCGCGCGAAACGAGGCCTATATCGCTAATTACTTAGCCGTGTCATACTGTCGAGTCATTGATGAGATATACCTTATATGCCGCATGCAGATTTTTGTTGTCTTATCTCGCGTATTTGTAACTATATCCAGCGCTTATCGCACATTCGTATATGTATATGTATATTTTCATATTTCGGAACTGTCACCACGACAAACGACGATAAAGCTGATGAAAAAATTCTTGCACTTTTCGTTGCCGTTATCATTGCAAAATACGTTTCGATCACGCTCCGAACAACGGATACCGAAACACTTGACCTTATTACAGGGGAAATTGTTTTGCTGTATACTTATTAATTATTAACAATGTCTCTATTAATAACGCCTTTCGTCGCAATTGACAGGATTTATTTTCATTGATACTTTCGTCTCGCAGCGTCGTGCAGCGTCTCGTTATATTTATTAATGGTCATTATTTGAGCGCGATTACGTAACGTGGTGCCAGCACAGCCATTCTTAAAATATTTGTTAGGATGTTGCATAATTTACGTCGAAATTCGTGACGTTAAGTCGACGCACATGCAGATTTCTCTTTCTCTTTCTACTTCCCGATATACATAATATATATATATATATATACATTCTTGTACCAGAATGTTTAGTAAATTGACAGCGGGCAGAGAATTTAACAGAGTGACTCAGCGTTATTTCTCGTCTAGAGGCGATGCATCATTGTCCACTTAGCTAGAGCGCCTTGTGGGACGCGCGAATCCATTGTCTGAAATTCAGTTGTGTCACATACTGTAATATCGCGCTACATCTATTTACAGCGGGCGATTTATCCGAAACGCAAGTCGTCACTCGATCTTATCGCCACATTGACAATTATAACTGTTTAAGTTATAATTGTCAATGTGGCGATAATGTCAAATAGACATTGGAATGTTAAAACGTCGATAGGTGTTATTAATTTTTTCTCGATATAGAATTATTAATCTTTGGTCTCTTGACTTATAGTCTTATAATATGGAATATACATTTTGCTGCGTTTGCTGCCATTTTGGCGATCGAATTAATTTCGCCTCTCCTAACTATGAATTAACTTAACAATAATTGACTTAACAAAAATATTTGTAATTTTAATTACTGCTAACGCGGATCGAATTATTGAAAAGAATTTCTGAGTTCTAGTAACACATAGAAAGAAAGATTAGATTGGATACAATGAATTGTGCAGCAAGCAATTTTGCATGTCTATATATAATTAATCGACGAGTAATTTAATCGATTAATTTATCAAATATTATCTTGTTAACGCGATCAATTTTCTATCGTTCGACATGTGGAAAGAAAGATTAGATTAGGAACGACGAATTACTTATTAGAAGTTTTCCAATAGGCAATTATATGTCGATTGAATTAATCGCCAATTAATCGAAAAATACATGATGCTCGGTTACGATTTTCGGGATCGAATTTTCACGGCGACTCTGAAATGTTCGCAATTGTCAATAATCATCAATTTCTTTTTACAGTCATTTCCGCGTTGTATGATGCGACACATTCTCTCTCGAGCGATAAGCGTTATCACGTTTGTCATACAATAATTAAGGCTGAAAACGCAGTCAGCGATCGATACATCAGCGCCGGAGAGCCCTGTCGACGCGGGGTACTCAATTTCGTGTGTTTACACGCGCCATGTGTGTCATGTCATCGGATCATTTTCAACTATACAGTCATACGAATCTCCGAGATTACCGTCGATATATATAATTTCGCTGAGTCTGCAGAGACGCGCGAAGATGATCCCTGCGCTATAATGTTTTCATCGTGATTTCTTTCTCTGTCGGCATTACGAGGCATCTCGAAACTTGGGTGCCATCGTCGAGATCGCGTCGAGATTTCGATCCTCGCAATTTCGCTCCGGAAAAGGGTATTTTTCAATCGGCAAATCTCTCTCACGATCTGAGAACCGCGGCGGGGAAACGTGACGGCGATGCCGGCGGCACGCATACGTGGAAAAAGAGACGTTAAGTCTTCTCTCTTCTGTGTGTGCGTGCCGCCGTGTCGAGTAATTTGTACTTAAATAGCACAAAGATTCGTAGGCTCGTTATTGCGTGTATTCGAGATACGCGCGACCGCGTATGATTCTTCAAGGTTTCCGCACGCGCGTCGCCGTTACATAAATGCACTTTCCGATAGTCATTCCTTCCCGCTAACGCGAGATTCGCATTACATATAGAAATAAAGTGATATTACGTAACCGCTCTGTGTTTCCAGATTTATCTGCGCGAGTCGAAAGTAGAGTAAACGGGCAAAAAAAAAAGTGGAAGGTCTCTGCAACTTGACCCGAGAGATACACGGAGTTGTATCACGCGACCGCGACGAGACAACATTAATTCTCGTGGACGTTCTTTCATACTCTTTTTTTTTTTCTTATCGCAAGAGTCACATGGCGCAAACATTTTAGGCTTTGCGGGACCACAAAAGAGGCAAAATCGAGAATGTACGTTCGACGAGGGAGAAAAATTTCTACAAATCTGAAACATAATACAATTATAATTAGTAAAATTATATACAAAATTATAACTAATAAATTATATTATAATTATAATTAATTATAATATAATTAAAATTAAAAATATATAATAATTGTAAGAATTGTAAGAAATAACACAAGATAACAATTATAAACGTACGGGCTGTAATTTGATCGATTATTGGTTTGCTATTCGGTAATAAATGGTCAATCCGGGGGATCTATCCAAAATTTTAGAGAGCAATTAATAGCAACCGCTGGCATTATTGATGCCAATCACACAAATTCGTCCGGATGTATTATTATTGATCGCTTCTATACTTATGTTTCGATCTGCTATAATGTTGCCGCTAATGTTCGCAGTCTTCAACCATGGCAACATACGTGACGACAATATTACATCTTTATGCGCAATGTTACGTATATACCGTACTTCACACTTTGCACAGTCTTGTTTAATTTGGCGTAAGGCATTTATTACGAATGTTTCTCCGAAGTTTACGTTGAGCTTAAAAACATTGGCCCAAAACGATTTCAATTCACCTCTGCCAACCTTCAAGTTTGATTTGTCGCAATAATTAAAGTTGGACACATGCACGAAGCAAGAATAGGGATTTTATCTAAGGACAAGGGTCAGATTAAATTCCGACAAATTTAACGAGCGATTTATCGAGAGATATATGACTGTGATGTATACATTTTCGATTGTTGACGTGAATAAAAGTTATTTGATATTAGATTCATTGCCTCGGTTTATAGTATAGATATTGAAAAGAAGATTAGGTCAGGGACAGCGTGAATTATATAAAAATAGTTCCCATTTCCTCGCGAGGAAACCGATTAGTCACAACTCGGATTTTTTTTAAAGCGAAACTTAAGACTTCCCGTTGCGTTTATTCGAGATTTCCGACAAAAAAAACAGACACATCTCGCGCGTGGACCGTGCGTTGGCTTCGCGCCAGTAGAGAGAGAGAGAGAGAGAGAGAGATCTCTCGCGAAAAAATTCCGGCTGTCAAAAATGATCCAATTCTCGAGGCCAATCCGCAGCGCGGACCGCCGCGGATCAACGCGAACGTAGTCAAGTGTCGCGGGACGCGCGGCGCCGCTAGCGATTTTCCCGCGCGGTCCACGGCGCGCGCGACGATTGGCTGCGCGTCTCCGCCGCCGGCGTTACGCCGCCCTGAATTGCCGCGCACACCGATACGCGGACGGAACGAGCCGGGTGGACGCCGCGGGTGGGTGGCGGTGTCGCGCGGGAGGGGGGGGATACTTCATACTTTCACTCGGTATGCTCGGATTGCTCGGACACGCTCGAGCACGGCGCGGCGCACGGTTGCACGACTGCGGTGACGACGACGACGACGACGACGACGACGACGACGACGGCGACGGCGGCGGCGGGCCGCACTCGGTGGTAGTAAGCCGCCTCTCGCAGACAGTTTCGGAGCAGTGACAGCGACGACACGGCCGGGCTCGAATGACTCGCGCGTATCGCTCGTAGCAACTAGCAGGTGCCGCGTGCTGGTTGGGCTCTCCCCCCTCTGCCGCGTGTACCGTCTTCTCCCCGTCTTCTCCTCGGTCGCATATTGTTGTGCGTGCCGCAGTGTGTGTGTGTGTGTTTGGTGGGTGCTTGAGGGGGACGGAGAGCGATTCCTAGGGCAAGGAAAATCGGTCGCGCCACCCGCCGATCTCTCAGTGTTCTCAGTGGCGTGTGCGCGGTGAGGTCGCAGGTGTGCGATACGTGCTCTCGCCTGTGGTGACGGCTCGGTGTAGTTTCGCCCTCTGAGAGAGGGCTGTGCTCGCCGGTGGATCGCGTAAATGTGTCAGTATGGAGAATCAAACAATTGGAATGGACCAGTTCTGCGGCACCAAGTTTTGGGTGAGTGAGAGGTCGCGAGAGGATCCAATCTCTCTCTCTCTCTCTTCTTCGCTTTCCTCCTCGCGCGCTTTTCCTCCGCGTCCATGATTTCCTCGCGTCGCGATTCCGTTCCGCACGGGAAGAGAGCCTCGTTTCGGCGAGAGGCTCATGCTTCCCCTCCTCGCGAGACGTACAGATATATACCCTCGTTGATCGGTCGATCGTCTCGAGAATCCCGTTCTTCTCCTCAGCCTCTCGTCAAGCCCGAAATGAAACGTTACACGCTCGGAATCGCGCGATCGACCTTCTCGGACGGCGATTCCCCCGAGGTGCGGTAACACGACGCTCCTCGCCGCGCGCGATCGCATAATCCTTTGTAACTGACGCTCAATTTCTCTCTCTCTCTCTCTCTCTCTCTCGCTCTCCGATTGATCCGCGAGCTAGTCCACGCGGGGAACGCGAAGCGAAGGAGTTCCTGCTTGTCGTTTCGAGTTCCTCCGCGTGAACTTTCTTCGCGGATCCGCGGAGCGAAAGAGCGAGATTGAAGAGTGTCCGTCGAGGAGGATCCGCGTCCAGGTTCACGGGAAACCCGGTTCCCGCGGGAAAACGCGCGATATTCGCTCTACTCTGGCATCACTTATTATTAATATTTAATCGCCTCGTGCCGTGCCTCCTTGCGCACACACACGCACACACGCGCGTGCGCGCTCACACAGAGGCACGTACACACGCCTTCCGATTATAGAGCCGACGGCGATAAAAAGCAATGTCATTCCCTTCGATTGCACGATTTTGGCGATATACGGAAATAAATCGCACGCGCGCGCGCGCGCGTGCCCGCGAAGCGCAGCGTAATCTGGGCGCCGCGTCTTCGCAAATATTGCGCTCTCTCAAACAATCGCGCTTTTATCAATTGGGATCCCGCGTATCTTTGCCTTACTCTCTCTCTCTCTCTTTCTCCCGTGCGTGAGATCAGAAGCAAACGCGCAAACACGTCGGACGCGTGCGAGGAGATGCCTTTACGACAAACCACTCGATAATTATCGCGCTCGCGCAATTCGCGGGGATGAAAAAGAGGCGCGATCGCGGAAGACACTTGGAACAATGTATGTACCGCGCATATATCTTTCGATAATGAGAACAGACGCTTCGGAGTCTGTTATAATATTTGGATATCTTTAACCTTGAGCAGAGCCACTGGTTTCCAGCTGCGATCGAGAGGGAGACTGTTAACTTCTCCGAAGAGTATATCCGGGAGATTCTGATGTAAAATTTTTTGCAACGGAATTAAGACCGGCCGCTCGCCGGGATATTTCGAGAGGATAGCCGCGCGAGACGGACGATGAGATCACGAGAGATACGCGAGAAGAAAAATAATAAAGAGGAAAAGATCGTTGGAATAATAGAATAGCGGATTCGTCTGGCTTGTCGCTCAACACGCATTGTTGTGTAATCGTTTTAATTTCCTGCACAGCGGCGCGTCGAATGGAGCGACTTATGTCATCAGGATCTCCCCTTTTTTTCTTTTTTTGTTCGTCCGGTTCGGCATTCGAACGCGTGTCGCACAGTCCCGGTTATCGGAATGACCGATTGCAACGCATAGATAAGATCAATCGACGAGCTCGTGATTCCCTCGCGGATTGGAACGAACCTTTTTTCGTTTTGCGTGCCATTTTTTTTACCGTGGGTTTCGTCGAAATTACTCCTCTCTAAATTAATGTTTTAATATTTGTAAATTTTTCGAAAATTTTGTCATAACCGAAAGAGAGTCGTGGGACATTGTTCCAAGCTTGAACACAAGTCAAGTGTGTAATGTATATATAAGTATTTCGTCAATATCGTTTCGATAAGTAAAACCTTTCCTCATTAAAGTCTATGTCAACGAAATAATACTGCTCGATACGTTCGATCAACCTAGATCGCCGGTTTCTTCACGTCTTTGCCTAGCTGTGTTGTATTTATTTCGTAAACTTGTGTTGATATCGATGACGTAAATACGTAAGGCGCAGGGACACTGACGTGTCTCCTGATATTCCTCGTTTCTCTCAAGAATACCTAACTGATTAAATTCCGATTATATCTCTCAATCGACGATTAACTTATCAAGTAATACCCCTGTTATTTCGTTAACACAGGTGAATATGTGATAATTAAAATTTAATTAAAATCCTTGCTATAATAGGCGATTTAATTAATTTTATATTATGTTGATCGCTGTTTGTCGACTTGAAGCTTTAAAAATTTGGAAAATTACATTTTAATCAATTACATCTCAAAGAATTCTGTTGAATTTAAGTTAAACTAATTATTTTAAGTGAATATGTGACGGCATTCACGTTTTCATATCGTTCACGAAAGAATGATGAAGGATCAGCTTGCGTGCGCCGAATGCACTTTACTTTATTAATTTACTTTATGTTCCACACAATTGGTGACTGATGACTAATTTTTTTAATTGTTTGATATCGATTTTTGCATAATAAAGTAGCTTCGTAATTTGCTAACTTTCTAATTTTCAAAATTATACATTTCTTAGCCGCAAATTATAATTTCTATGAGTGTCACTAAAAATTGAAAAATAGACTTGTCAGTTGTTCATCTTTTTGAAACTGGAACATTTTTTTTTCTTTTTTGAAATGCTTGTAACGAAAAATATTCAAATGCGTTAATATTTCTGTTAACAATAAGACAAAAATCGATTCGTCGAAATTATAACATGTCGGTCGAAATTTCTGACTGTTCTAGGATGCTAATCTAACATGGTACACGAACGAGCCAGATCTAACAGAATGCTTCCAAAAGACGATACTAGTATGGGTACCATGTATATTTCTATGGGCGTTCTCGGCGATGGAAGCGTATTACCTTTTAAATAGCAAAAGGAGAAACGTCCCGTACACGTGGTTATTTATTTCTAAGCAAGTACTTACAGTAGGATTAATTTTACTTTCCATAGTCGACTTAGGAGTGGCGATACACGAAAGTACTTCTCGTACGGTCCACAGTGTTGATTATTGCACACCCATTGTAAAAATTGTTAGCTTCGTAAGTACAACAATTATTTTTTACATTAGTAGATTCTTAAATATATTTTTTATATTGAAATATATTTTAAACGACTTTTGCATTAATTAATAATATTTTTAATAGCTTTAATAATATTTGTTTCTGCTTTTTTTTAAATACAAAATAAAAGTGATGATTATTGATTTGTCATAAAAAAAAATCGTATTCAATCGGTCATATAGATGGTCTGTATAACGTTTAATCAAATTTGTTAATTCTTTCAGACGTTAGCATCGACTTTAATGCAGTACAATAGAAAACATGGAATGCGGACGTCAGGTCTTTTATTCTTATTTTGGTTTTTCCTTTCGCTATGTGGATGTATCCAATATAGAAGCTTTGTAAATGAATTTATTAAAGGGGTACGTTAGATTTTTATTACGTTAATCGCGGATTTAACTATGTATAAGATACATTTGTAAAATTGCATTTTCAACTGAATTTTTTACAATTTCTTATCACAACAGTATCTTTCTCGTGTTATCAGTTCTTATGACACTTTACAAGAAAATTGCTGTTTGTTAAGTAACGTAATGCGATTCATTCGAAGAAATGATTTATTTTCAGGCAGAGCCGACGTACCCATTGGTGTCTTACATGATCTACTATCCAATAGTGGTGATATTGTTTGTACTTAATTTTCTGGTCGATGCAGAGCCTAAATTCTCGGAATATCCTACGGTAATCCATCTCGTATTGATCGTAATAATATATGAGACACATAAACCATGTAGAAATTGTCGTAAGATTTAGAGGCTATTGATGAACAATTTTGAAATACGTTCACTCGCAGGTCGAATCGCCATGCCCAGAGCAAGGCTCCTCTTTCCCCTCGAAAATTTTTTTCGCGTGGTTCGATTCCTTGGCGTGGAAGGGCTTCCGAAAGCCGCTCGAGACGTCCGACCTATGGTCCATGAATCCAGAGGACATGGCCACGGAGATCGTGCCGAAATTCGACAAATACTGGAATAAGAACTTGAGAAAGACGGACGAGTAAGTTTGATCGATAAATCTCTTCGTGCAAAACCAAGGTTGCCTGCAATCAATATGGCTTAGCTTCTTTAAAAGGCGTTTATTTAAAATTGTGAGAAAATATAAGGCATACATTTATATTGATATTGACGCAAAACGTGCGGATTCGAGAGAAAATACATTTATTAGATATTATTAGATATGGTTAATTGCTGATATAAAATTGTTCTTTTAGGAATTTTCTAAAATCGGTTTGTTTAGGATAATACATTTTCAGAATATATTACTGCATTATCTTATCTGCTTTTATGGCTAACGGCATATTATTTGCAAATGCCTCGCATTAAAAAGAATATCTCGTAGATAATTAGCGTGTAGTACCATAATTTTTTCTGACAAAATATTTTTTAACATGTTCATACATTTCTTGTGCTAACAAGGCTGATTTGGACTTACTTTAGGTAGGATGTGTCGTATAACGTGTCTCGCTCATTTTTATCGTTCAACGTAATAGAAAACTGTATAACAGACATTCTTTATTCATATAGAGTAGAAAGTGCAAAAGCGTCGTTCCGAAAAGCGTCCGGGCAAGTGGACTTTAACAGTGGCCGGAAAAAGAAAGAGGCCTCCATCCTACCGCCTATCTGCAAAGCTTTCGGAGCAACATTCATGTTCGGTGCATTCCTGAAACTGATTCAAGATGTTATGACTTTTATCAGCCCACAAATATTAAAGTGAGTGCACACAAATCCTGATTTAGATCTTTTCAATTTTATTCCACGATTTGTGAAACGAAACGAATTTTACAAGATTATTCTGATTGTGTTCCTGACACGGTCATCTTTTTGTAATGCGTTTCTTTTTTTTTTTTCAGGCTTCTGATTGACTTTATCGAAGGGGAGGAGCCAATGTGGAAAGGATACCTTTACGCCGTGTTACTTTTGATCACCGCGATACTCCAGACGTTAGTACTGTCCCAATATTTTCATCGTATGTTCTTGGTCGGGCTGCGCATACGCACCGCGCTGATCGCGGCGATTTACCGTAAAGCGTTGAGAATGTCGAACGCGGCGAGGAAGGAGTCCACGCTCGGCGAGATAGTGAACCTGATGTCCGTAGACGCTCAAAGATTCATGGACCTAACCGCGTACATAAACATGATCTGGTCGGCGCCCCTGCAGATAGTCCTAGCCTTATACTTTCTCTGGAACATCCTCGGGCCGGCCGTGTTCGCCGGTCTAGCGGTCATGATTATTCTTATCCCTATAAACGGATTGATCGCCAACAAAGTGAAGACGTTACAAATTAGACAGATGAAGAGCAAGGACGAGAGGGTAAAGTTAATGAACGAAGTACTTAACGGCATCAAAGTGTTGAAGCTCTACGCGTGGGAACCTTCATTCGAGCAGCAGATACTTAAAATCAGAGTCAAGGAGATTCAAGTGTTGAAAGAAGCGGCGTATCTGAACGCCGGTACGAGCTTTATATGGTCGTGCGCACCCTTTTTGGTATGTTTCTTTTTTTTCGTTAGAAACAATGAATCGTACATTATATGATCGAAAACCTCAGAAATAGAGATCTTATGGGAGGGGGAGTTGTAAATGCCTTACTCTTATTTTTCTTTTTTACATTAAACTCTTAATTTTTTAAGTTTTACTATACATGCATACATCTCTCTTAGAAAAATTTATTTGCAAGAACAATAAATAGCTATAAATATTATTTCTTTTTCCAGTTCTGAAGTTTTCGATTATATTCAATTAAATATTCTTTGCATTAAAAAAAAAATTGTCTTATTTTTCCACAAATGTGTGCAGGTATCTCTGGTGTCTTTTACAACTTACGTACTTTTAGACGAAAAGAACGTCCTAAACAGTAAAATTGCTTTTGTTTCGCTCAGTTTGTTTAACATTCTAAGATTTCCACTGTCTATGCTGCCTATGATGATTGGTAATATAGTTCAAGTAAGTTTAATACTGTCTATATGTTTATTCATTAAGAAATGTTTTTTTTATGCCTGGCTAATATTTCTATGTACACGTTTGCAGGCTTACGTATCTGTAAAACGTATTAATAAATTTATGAACATGGAGGAACTGGATCCCAACAATGTAACACATGATCCATCGGAACGTAAGTGTAATATTTTTTTTTCTAAAGTAATATCTCTACGTGACGTGTCTACAGTACTACATTTTATCGTATTGATTTGTAGCGAACGCGTTAGTAATTGAGAACGGTACCTTCTGTTGGGATAGCGAAGAAATTGAGAGACCAATACTACGAAATATCAATTTGCATGTAGAACAAGGTCAATTAGTAGCAATAGTTGGTACAGTGGGATCAGGCAAGACTTCCCTTCTATCCGCTCTGCTCGGCGAGATGGACAAAATAAGCGGGAAAGTAAATACAAAAGTGAGTATTCCTTCGTCGTGTGTCAGAAAGCAAAGCTCATTGGGATATTTGAAAATGAACGCTAAATACTCTCTCTTACGTAGGGGTCAATTGCATACGTGTCGCAGCAGGCGTGGATACAAAACGCCACGTTGCAGGATAATGTTCTGTTCGGAAAGGCCTTGAACAAGTCAGTGTACAATCGTGTGATCGAAGCGTGCGCGTTGACTCCGGACTTCAAGATGCTGCCCGCGGGGGATCAAACGGAGATCGGGGAGAAAGGGATAAACTTGTCCGGCGGTCAGAAGCAGAGGGTAGCCTTAGCTAGAGCTGTATATAACGATTCGGAAAATTATTTCCTAGACGATCCCCTGAGCGCGGTGGATTCGCACGTGGGAAAGCACATTTTTGAGAAAGTAATAGGTCCGAACGGCCTGCTGAAGAAGAAAACTAGAATACTTGTTACGCATGGCATTACATACCTGCCGGAAGTTGACAACATTATTGTTCTCAAGGACGGCGAGATAACGGAGTGCGGGACCTACAAGCAATTGCTGGAGAAGAAAGGCGCCTTTGCCGAGTTTTTGGTGCAGCACTTACAAGAAGGTATCTATTAAAATGATTTTTTTTTCGCTGCGCGTATATTTTTTTTTATATACGTACTTATTATAAAATTTGCTGTTACATTTTCCCTGGATTTAAGTTGGAAATCGTAAGTCCGCGAAAAAGTAATTACAATTCCTTTTCCTATTTTGTATTGCTTGCATAAGAAATACTTATTATCTTGTCATTAGAGATCGCTAACGATGAGATATTTTGCTAAATCAAAAGTTCTGTTATCCCTTTTAAGATACTGCTTGCCGACAAAGTAGCGAACATTATCAAGACTAATAACTAGTTTTTAATAGTGTAACTAACTTAATATAGACGCTTTCGTGATACAGAATTCTTCATACGTCGTATTACAATTAAAATATAGTTTAATGCAAGTATATTTATCTTTTGATTTTTTACATTGAATTTTTCTAAAGTTATTGAGTTGAAATCAGTTTGAATTTTAATTTTGGATAATTCTTTTTCTCCTGTTCAATTCCCATAATTTATTACTTAATTCTCTTGTCTGAATTTCCATTTTGTGCTGTAGTTGAGAATATGTGCATGTGCGAGTTTTTTTCTCGAATTTCTTCCCATTTCTGTAACATCGATACATCTTGCGAACGATTTATTATTATTCTAAAATCACACGACGAATTTGAAACAGTGCACGGCGCAGATGACGGTTCTGAAGACGACTTACGCGAAATTAAACAGCAGCTTGAATCAACAATGGGAGCGGACGAGTTGCAGCAAAAGTTAACTCGAGTACGGTCTAGGATATCCGAGAGTCAAAGTGAATCCGGCTCTGTGGCCGACAGAAAGTCACTTAATGGTTCTCTGACAAGGTACGCTCTCATAAATAAGATTTTATCTTAAAACGATGATTCAAGTGCGCGCGGAAACTAACTTACGAAAATACGCGCTCTGTACAAAAAAACAGGCAATACTCAACGGAAAGCCAGCAGTCGGCGAATTACGTGCATAGCAATAGTACAAAGGAGAAGGAAGCGGCGAAGCCTAACAACACCGGGGAGAAGCTGATAGAAATCGAGAAGGCAGAGACCGGAAGCGTAAGTTGCACCCGATATCGCTCAATCAATTTTCAAAAAGACGACTTATACACGTCTCCGCAATTTTTGCTTTTTTTTTTCCTCACGGCGGAAAGATTGCTTTTATTCTCACGCATCGTATTATTTTTTTTCCCCCCCGCAAGGTCAAATGGAAAGTGTACTCTCACTACTTGAAATCCATCGGATGGTTCTTGTCGATATCGACAATCGTGATGAACGCGGTCTTTCAGTCGTTCAGCATCGGCTCGAGCGTTTGGCTCAGCGTATGGTCGAATGACAATCAGACCGTTGGAAATGACACGTTCGACACGGCGAAGCGGGACATGTACCTCGGGGTATACGGTGCACTCGGTTTTGGCCAAGGTACGTGTTTCCGTATTACACACAGTTAATTCCATAAAGCGTTCCATAGTTCCGTTTGTCAGGTAGACTCGGTCAGTATTGTGTATATATATATAAAAAAAAAAAAAAGAATTTCGCGTTTACGATGGACGAGGATCAGGTAAGCCTTATCCCTGTCGTTGCTACGTGTACCTATATTATAAATATACATATCATTTTTCTACCGCAGAAGGCAATTACTTCATTTAATACAACGTTAACAATGGCAATGGCACTTAATTTTGCTCGTCATAGCATATCGTAATTCGAAAGGCATGTTCCCTCACAGATTACACATCATTGGGGTATAATTGATCTTAAATTTCCTCATATGTAAAAACTCCAACGAGCGGAGTTGATAATCGAGAAATGATGAATAACTTGACTAACGTGATAACTTTATCGTTCCGAGTTAACGATTATGAATTTTACGTTCGCGAATGTACATCACATATGTGCGTTTAATTCCGAAAATAATCCAATTAATTTCCTTTCAAGAATTTAAACTGAGTGTGGTTTGCTGTGTCTACAGAACACTAACGTTACTAATTAAGAACTCAAAAGGCAATTAGAGATTGAAACTTTTCTGTAGCCATATGTTTTTGATTGCAAGTGTAGTAGTAATAATTATTTTGTAATACAAATGATCGCTTGTTTTACTATTGCATGGAACAATTTTCTGTTTGAAATGCCTTTTATTCGATACGATTTGCATTTTTTGTTAAATAATTTATTAATATTTATTAATAACCTTTTCTATACGCGAAAATTTATATTTGATTGATAGCTCAAACATAATGTAAGAACATTGTTGACGGATATATATGTCATAATATATATGATCAATGAATGTTATATGTGTTTGTATATAATTCTCTTGTAATCTTTTTGTGATCTTGTGATCTATTGTGATCATGGTGTGATCCATCAAAAATATGTTCAGTTGTCGTTTATTAATTCTATTTTTCTCTTATCATACTGTGGACTAAATTACGTGACGTCTATTATTTTATATTTAAAATTTTATTATAGAAAAAAATATTTTAAAAATAATAATACGTTGTTACGTCCAATGTAAGCATGAAGTAGACAGACAAAAAGAAAGCTTCCTAGCATTAATGTGTTCTAAAATGGTAAAAAGAACGGGAAATCAGTCTGTATTTTATTGATTAATCGATGATTTAACTATACTCCGGAGATTTTCAGTGAAATCATTGTAAAATGAATGAAAATCGATAAAAATCATTTAACTGGAAGATAACTTGAAATTTCGAAAAATATTCGCGCTGATTTCCTGATCAGATAATTATGCGTGTAAATTGAGTTGGATGACTGTAGAACGTAGTAACAACACATGTTTAATTTAAAGAAATTTAACCAGGCTTAGGCGGAGGGAAACTCGAGGCATTTCTTATTTGCTAATCGCGGTTGTCCCTTTTAATAGGTCTAATTTGGCTAAAGTCCTATTCGATAAGATGCATTGTGCCTGGATTTTTATTACATTTAATAAACATATTGACACACAAAACACACACACAAACACACATACACGTTTAGCACTGAACGTGGTCGATCCCTTGCTCAAATGTCTAATATGCAAAGTATGACAATAACAATTAACACTCAATGAATTTTAATTGATAAAGAATGACATTTAAATGCTGATATGATGCGCTCCTGCATATCCTTATGATATATTTATTAAATTTATATGAAATACTTCTGTATATCTCACATATTGAATTTTGTATCGAGCAAAGCGTGGAATCGCACAATCACATTTAATGCTATATACAATGCGATGAGAATGCGAGTCATAATATCTCTTTTATGTGCCGCAAATATTTCTCCATCTCGAGCCACGATAGTCTAACCATTAGTTTCGCTTTCTGTTTCGTTATTAACTTATTGTTACCGCTAATGACTAACGCCAGTTAACGTGATCACATGCCTAAATTAAACGACGAAGATTCATTGTTGTTATTTAAGCCTTCTATGTAAAAAGGCAGTTTTTTTTTTCGCAGTATCGAAATTTAACAGTGCGTAATTACGGGCATTAGCATGTCAATTTGGACGTTTAGCAGAACGAAGCAATCCGAAGCGCAAAAATAACAGGTTTTTTTTTTTAGAACTGCGAGCGAGTAGTGTCGAAAAAAGAAATTTTTTCTGCCGATACGACGAAGAGATGTTGCATTTATTTATTTTAAATTGAATTTCAGCCATTTTTGTAGTGCTGGCGCAGGCAGCGTCGGAAATCGGCTGTCTACGGAGCAGTAAACTGCTGCATTCCGAGATATTATACGTCATGCTACGATCACCTTTAGGATTCTTTGACACTACGCCGTCCGGCAGAATATTAAACCGTTTTGGGAAGGACATTGACACACTTGACAATCTTTTACCTACAAGTTTTAGGGCTTGCTTGTTTTGTACGGCATTGGTATGCGAGAGTTTTTAATATCTATATGTTACTATACAATGTTTTTAGTAGCATGACCACTGGTCCACCAATCGGTACAAATATGATCAATTATGTAACGACTTAAAGAGCAGTCTTCTCGCAGCCTCTATTCCTCATTAATGCTTCATTCATTAATGATCGGTGGACAAGTTGATCGGAAGCGCGCGTTATCAAATTGAATTATCGAGTCGACGATAACTTAAAATTTCGCAAAATATTTGTGCTGATTTTCTGATCAGATAATTTCGTGTAAATTGAGTTGGATGACTAGTAGAGCGTAGTAACGAGTAACAACACGTGTTTAATTTAGAGGAATTTAAACAGGCTTAGGTGGAGGGAAACTCGAGACATTTCTTATTTGCTAATCACGGTTATGTTTTGTCCCTTTAATTTAGCTAAAGTCTTTACTCGACAAGATGCATTGTGCCTGGATTTTTATTACATTTAATAAACATATATTGACACAAAACACACACAAACACACTCACACACACATACGTTTAACGCTGAATGTGGTCGAATTCCTGCTCAGATATCTAACGTGCAAAGTAACAATAGCAATTAACGCAGTCAATGAATTTTAATTGGAGAATGACATTTAAATGCTGATCTGATATTCTCCTTTATATCCTCTTATGATATATTTATATTAAATTTATATTAAATACCTCTGTGTATCGTATATTGAATTTTGTATCGAGCAAAGCGTGGAATTGCATAATCACATTTAACGCTATACATTCGATGAGAATTCGAGTTGTAATATAATATATTACAACTCGAATTCTCTTGTGTGCCGCAAATATTTCTCCATCTCGAGCCACGACAATCTAACCATCGGTTTCGCTTTTTGTTCCGTTATTAACTTATTGTTACCGCTAATGACTAACGCCAGTTAACGTGATCACATGCCTAAATGAAACGACAAAGATTCATTGTTCCGGTTACCTCCTATGTAAAAATGGCAGTTTTTTTTTCGCAGCATTGAAATTTAACAGTGCGTAATTACGCGCATTAGCAAGTCAATGTGGATGTTTAGCAGAACGAAGCGATGCGAAGCGTAAAAGTAATAGGTCTTTTTTTTTGTAGAACTGCGAGCCAGTAGTGTCGAAAAAAGAATTTTTTCTGTCGACACGACGAAGAGATGTTGCATTTATTTATTTTAAATTGAATTTCAGCCATTTTTGTAGTGCTGGCGCAGACAGCGTCGGCTATCGGCTGCCTACGGAGCAGTAAACTGCTGCATTCCGAGGTATTATACGTCATGCTACGATCACCTTTAGGATTCTTTGACACTACGCCGTCCGGCAGAATATTAAACCGTTTTGGGAAGGACATTGACACAATCGACAACATTTTACCTCCAAGTATTAGAGCTTGGTTGTTTTGTCTGGCATCGGTATGCGAGTTTTTTTTTAGTTTTAATCTCTGTATGTCTCACTACACACGAATGTTTCTAGCAGAACCACTGGTCCACCAATCGGTACAAATATGATTAATTATGCAACGACTTGAGGAGCAGTCTTCTCGCAGCCTCTATTTCTCATTAATGCTTCATTAATGATCGGTAGACAAGCTGATCGGAAGCGTGCAAATTAACGAGTCGACGTAATTGCATGCCCGACACCGTATGTGTCCTTTCTCATTATGCACTCATGCAAAGTACTGTGTTTATGCTCACTTCCCTTATCTCTGGTTATTATCATACATTACTACACTCGCGCTCCAACATTTCTCGCTCTCTGTACATTTATTATTTTGTACTTATATTTACTGGCCTCTCTCTTTATAATTATATGCACCTCAATTCATGTGTGACTGCAGTGGAGGAACTTGCATATGAACGTTCAGATGAAATCAGGTGATGAGCAACTAATGAAAATGAACATTGCCGATCGTACAGAGCCTTTTTAAACGACTCTCCGTCTCACACTCACTCGCAAAAAAAAAAAAAATAAACTCGATGTACATACCCGACAACAATTCGCGGACGCAAATATCTGATAATGTAAAAAAACTGTCATGATTTTTTTAACTCGATAAATCAAAGCTGATTACCGATCGTTGTAGGCGTGACGGTATTCGCAATGGCGTTATTCCTGGCGAAAGGGACGGTAGTCGCTTCCATGCGTATCTTCGAGGGTACGCTGCAACGCGTACTTCACAACCCGATGTCATTCTTTGACACAACCCCGATTGGCCGAATTCTCAGTCGGCTTGGCAAAGACATTGATATTATTGACAATATCCTACCGCTTATTCTGCGTTCTTGGATGACTTGCCTCTTTTCGGTATGATATTCTCATATAACTTACGCACTACTGTTATAAGTAATGATTCTCTATGACCGTTGTATTGGATTTTAATATTACTTGCCGAGCGATATATTCTTGCTACAGATATCAATATGTCCTCCCTCCTTCTTTTCTTGGTTTCAGTACGTTATTTAAATTTGCTTTGGAGTATTGATCTCTTTGCACGAAGTATATTTCTATTATTTTCTATTGTACTGTGATAATTTACGTTCCATCAGTTATTTATCGAATCACTTTGTATATTGATCGACATTGATTTTACATCAGAATTGAAACGATGAGTTTTCCAAATGCGAAGTAAAAAAAAAAAGAAGTACCTTTTCGCGTAATCGTACCGCGCATTTGAATATACAAAGACTCGACAGACGCGAAGAATAATTAACAAAAAAAAAATGCGGATTTCCAGCGGTAGGAATGTACGTTCCGTCGGAATTTGGATCCGATTGCTAGAAATTTGAATGTGGCATTATTTTGTATAATAAAGCTTGGAGTTTTAGAAGAAACGACGAAATGTTGTAGTAACGTAACGCTAGGCCTGCCGGCTAAGCGTTATACGCGGGCACGGGTACGCTACTTGATCATGTGCGTTTAAGAAGTTGCCGGCAATCACAGCACAGCACAGTGGATCGATGAAGCGTTGAAGGGAAACACGAAGGGTATACATGGTAAGAGATATCCTCTCGATGCTCTGCTTGCCCAGCTCGAAGCAGCATTCGAGCGGCTTACCCGTGCGTTTCGTGCGTTCAGCCGGCCAGGTAACAGCCGCCACACTTTGCGAACGGCTGCTTCTCTTCTTCAACTGAATCTCTAAATTCGTCGAGGAGATACGTTCCTGCTAATGATATCCGAATTTTTTTTTCCGAGTGTCTAGAGAACAAGATACTGATGGAACAATTAAAAAAAAAAAACCATATCCGTGTACGAGATTGATCGACAAGTCCTGATTCTCGGCAATTTGTTAGGACTTGACCGAAGATATAACTGCAGAGAAACACGCAAAGTCGTATCAACGAATCATAGCTTTTCTGTGGAGTTCAGCTCGCAGCTTAACCATCTTACTCTTTTGGGTTTTATTTCGCGGAAGGGTTGACGTGGAATTCGTGAGAATGCTTCCACTGGATTTTGCGTTGTGCCGTCCAAAATTACATTGCATTAATATCGTTAAAATTTATTGATCGAGCATTGATTACGGTGTGTGTGCTTTAGGACCGGATATCCCGCTGTCCGCCTTGCCCTTTCTCGTGAGAGATGTTATAATCATTGATGATGTTCATTTTTGTTTACTGTCAGTACACGTGTTCGGATCCGATGACGTTAAAGGCGTTAAAGAATAATAATTGTGTTGATTTTTTTTTTTTTTCACAAATTCATTCGTTTTAATGTCGCCCAAGACGGGGAACTTGGATTCGTGAAATCATTGTATCATTCTTACATCACTTGGCAAACTCTACAATTGTTTTCTCCTTTTACGTTCACATTGAATTTCTTTCTACATTGGATTTCTCTTTTTTTCTGTTTACTGTCTTCCGTTCCGTTACTGGGAACGTTATTCTTAATTTTAACTTGCCTCGCACGACTGCCGTCGTGATAACTTTGATACAACTACTTTTGTATATAAATCATATATAGTGCAACCATATAGCGTAGTAATCATTCAGGGAATGGACACAATTATACCAGTGATTATTCAATGTACAGAAATGGTTTTGCTTGTGCTTGATAACGCTTATTTACTCTATATTCACTTGCTTGTATAACATCCACCTAATTACGATTTCTGCCTTCTGGGAACGTGTGATTTACTTGTATTTCCTGTTGCTATATATATATATATCTCCTATCTGGTATGCCACACAGCAAACTCCACACCTTCGCATAACATGAGACCAGAGCGGGATAATTTAAGACCGCGTTATTGCCAAATGCAAATTTTGAGTATTACGAGCAGCAATACGGTAGAGGAGAGAGAGAAAGAGAAAAAGATAAATGCTAAATTCTTTACAGCGATCGCGTTCGGCATCTCGGTAGACCGCGTCGAAAAGAGAAAACGAAGCGCGTTTAAGTTTTATAATGTCAAAAAGCTACTCTTGTATGTAATACGGTGCCTCATTTAATGTAAAACATTTATTGTCCGCTTATGTGATAAGTTTTTCCGTGTTAATTTCTTGCTCATCGTTCTGTTTTTTTTTTTACATTTTTTTCACGAATCGCGCAAACCTGTGTATGGAGGTGCGGTTACAATGAAAGTCATCCATGTCTGATGTTGTAGCGGTGGCGAGCTTTTTCTGCGATTTGGCACCGCAGTTGGGCTGTTGGTTGGCTGCTCGCCAGATGCACATAGTGATGCTGCGTGCTGTGATGCGTGCCCCATTGACCTTCTTTGATACGACTCCTATTGGTCGTATTATCTCCAGGTTTGCTAAAGACGTGGACGTACTGGATACATCTCTTCCCCCACAAATTTCTGATACCATCTATTGCTTGTTCGAGGTAAAATTTCTTTCTCGTAGCGTGCCGAGAATTACCGGTTGGGAATCTCTTATCACTGTTTCCATCCCTCCCCGTCCGCCCGTATCTTCTCGACCACGCAGTTTGAGTTCCGCACGTGTACTGTCATCACTTTCCATCGGAGAACTTTGCGTACACCGTAAAAACTGCGATCAGATATGCGTTGCTATCCCCCCGGATATATATATGTGTATAATTTGCGTTTGTTAAGAGGTGCCTGCGAATAATAATGGTGGTATTTGGTATATATATATTGTACGCTGGACACTTATTCCCTGTCTGTATAAGCTTTGCAAGCTGATTTTGAGAATACAATTAAATGTGCCGTAGAGTCCGTTCACCGAGTATATACATATATATAATTGTGTCCGTTCTCGATAGAATGACTGCTGTCGATGAAATTACTCTTGTATTGAAGTAAAAAGGGTACTTTAGCAGTGTCGAGTTTGATCGAGAGAGATTTAAGTACACCTTGTACCGCTAACGCTTACTGTACTTGTCCAATGCACAGAGTGATAATCATATTCATGGTACATGTTGGTGGGCCTATGAAACGACCAGCACTGGCTTGTCTTTTCTGTACAACATGCTGTCCGGAAGAAATATAAATGCTTTAATCGCAATGGAGTTTCTGCATGGCATATTATGTTTTTTTTTTTTTTTCGTTTATACTCCTCTTATCAAGCTGATTCGTTCGATCAACTTTGCGTTTTTTATTTATATGTTTTTTTTTTCGTTGACACGCAGATACTTCTTTCTGCTCCGACAATAATTTACATATGGTAATATTAACATCGCAATACGGTAATATTAACATCACAATACAATATTAACGCATCGTTCTCTATCTTACGAGAATAATTGATAAAACCGAATTTCTTTCAGCGTTATTAACGGTTGTATGCATTGCAGGTGATAGCTACTCTCGTTGTCATAAGCTACAGTACACCTATATTTATCGCGGTGATACTGCCAATAGGCGCGATTTATTATTTCATTCAACGTTTTTACGTTGCCACGTCGCGCCAATTAAAACGATTAGAGTCCGTGTCAAGATCTCCTATATATTCGCACTTTAGTGAATCGGTGACTGGTATGTTCAAAACTCTTTAATATTTTATACTACTTATTAATAAAAATTTACGTCCCTAAAAATAGTCGTGTCTGTCATTTAGGTGCGCAAATAATTAGAGCGTACGGCGTGCAGGAGCAGTTTATCCACGAATCTGAAAATAGAGTGGATTTCAATCAAGTGTGCTACTTCCCTAGCATTATTGCAAACAGGTACATATATATTTCCATATGACGTAATTGCATTTCTCTGTGCATAGTTATTAACCGAAACGTATGTATTGCAGATGGCTGGCCGTGAGATTGGAGATGGTTGGAAATTTAATTATATTCTTCTCAGCTTTGTTCGCTGTTTTAGGTAGAGATACCATGAGTTCAGGACTCGTTGGTCTGTCGGTCAGCTACGCCTTACAAGTAAGATACAATTGATATATGTATATGTATGTAACACGACATTTCAGCGTTATATATAATGCGATATTCTTTACGATGTTGATGAAACGTCTCTCACGTAAAGCAAAGTCAAAAGTATTTACAGCGCTTGCTACATGCGGGTTTATACACGGAGAGAATTTTTTTTTAAATTTATCCTGCAAATCATGTTAATTATGAGACAATATAGTATTTAGGCAAATTTTACTGTGCACTACAATAAGATTTCGCAGTAAAATTTACCTAAATACTATATTGTCTCACAATTAACATGATTTTCAGGGTAAATTTTAAAAGAAAATTCTCTCCGTGTATGTTTATTTGGTACTTTGTAAAAGGCTCGTATGTATTCGCACATGAGAACATCGCACGTTACGTCTGCTACAGATTACCCAGACCTTAAACTGGCTGGTGCGCATGACGTCCGACGTCGAGACCAACATCGTCGCGGTGGAGAGAATAAAGGAGTACAGCGAGACCGACCAGGAAGCGCCGTGGAAGAACACGGAGTACACGCCTTCGAAGGAGTGGCCTAAGCACGGTCGCGTCGACTTCAAGGACTTCAAGGTCCGCTACAGGGAGGGACTGGATCTCGTGCTGCACGGTTTGACGTTCAGCGTACTCGGCGGCGAGAAGATCGGCATAGTGGGCAGAACCGGCGCCGGAAAGTCGTCCCTGACATTGGCGCTCTTCAGAATAATCGAGGCGGCCCAGGGCAAGATCTTGATTGACGACGTCGATATCTCTAAGCTGGGTCTTCACGATCTGCGCTCGAGGTTGACCATCATTCCTCAGGATCCCGTATTGTTCTCCGGAACGCTAAGGATGAATCTGGATCCTTTCGATTGCTATTCCGACGAGGAAATCTGGAGGGCGTTGGAGCACGCTCATCTGAAATCGTTTATAGAAAGTATGATCTCTATATGATTTTCCGTCAAAAAATTTCGTATTTTTAGAGAGAGAGTTTAATCTATTTATTTATCCACCTTTCAGACTTGCCAAGCGCTCTTTTACACGAGGTTACTGAAGGCGGAGAGAACTTAAGCGTGGGGCAACGACAGCTGATCTGTTTAGCGAGAGCGTTACTTAGAAAAACGAAAGTTCTCATATTGGACGAGGCAACAGCCGCGGTTGATTTGGAGACAGATGATTTAATTCAGACCACCATCCGCCAAGAATTTAAGGATTGTACAGTTTTGACAATAGCCCACAGGCTCAACACTATTTTAGATTCCGACAGGTGCGTTTCGAGTTATTTTATAATTGTGTTTCGTGTGTACTTTTTTTTACAATTATTTTATTTTAATCGACAATATCTTTAAAGAAATGAATTGAGAAGATCAAGAAAAATCACTATAGATTGTTTAAATTTTCCTTCCGAGTTATAATAAATTTTAGAACTTTACACACGCATGTTTTTGAAATGTTAGTCATTATAACGCGTGTACTTGTTAATCTTGCTAATATCAGGTCGAAACGTGCCGCATTGTGCATTTGTTGCGGAAGTTTGGGCGACTGCCTCTATTTTCAGTTTCCGCTTGCAATTATCACGATTCGATCGCAAAGCCATTTTCTATTTTCGGCTTATTATTATCGAACAATAATAATGTGTTTCAGGGTGATTGTATTGGACAAAGGTCTGATCGTCGAATATGATTCTCCGGAAGTGCTACTTCGCAATTCAGCTAGCTCTTTCTACAGTATGGCTAAGGACGCAGGTCTAGCTGCTTAAGCAAAGAGGAAAAAAAAACAAGAATTCATATCACGTAATGATTTTTTTTAGCGGCTGTACGTTATCCGCGCGAGCCAAACGTCGAAGTAAACGACACGCAGAAAGCCATAGAACAAACAAAAAAAAAAGATAAAATGCATAGCCTTAGTATAGATATTAATTTGTATAGCGAAATATTTCTACTCAGAGAACAAGCGAGAGCGTTTCGACGTAATCGACGGTGCAAGAACGCCGAACTCTCGTTCTCAGACTTACTGTTGCCCAGATCTTATCGTGTGACGAGCGACGAACTCTTGCCAATTGTACCGTCGATTATCGAACATATATTCTAGGATAAGTTTTGTAGTGAGGTATCATCACGAAGCAAGCAACGCGACACACCTCGTTTCTAAACTAGCGTCGATATCCGATACCTAACTTTAACTAGGCAACGATCGGGTGGATTCCTATTTGATCAGTATGTTGTAATCAGTGAATTATTTTTCACGGTGTACTTCATATTATATTCCAAAGATCCATTTTTATTTAATTTGTAATACAATTAGTGTACTTAATTATATAAAAGTTTTCATAAGAATATCACGACGAATTTTTATCTATTCATTTGTAGAGCAACAATATTCGATTAACATTACATGATATATAATAATTAATATTATTATTATATTATGAACCATGTACTTACAGAATGTAACAGCGTTATAATTAATTGTAAGTAAATAATATTGGCTTGAATAATATCCGCAAGCCTAAGTTGACTAGGAATATGTTTCTAAATACTCGATCACGCGATAGGAATCCTTGCACCCGACAACCTCCGAGTTAAGTTACGCCCATTTGAATAGTTCCAATTACTGAAGTAAGACAAACGTGTGTACAGTGATCGATAAAAGTGCGTGTTCACTCAGATTAAAAAAAGAAGAGGAAGGAAGACAAAAGAGTTAATTAACCGAGATTGTTCCAAGTAACTCATCAATTTAAACAAATGAGCTCTAGAATACAACAATTCTCAATTATTGCTTTAACAACATTCGGAATTGTTAAAGCTGTTCTCCATCCTTAGATTTCGAGCGCGTTTTTTTTCTACGGACTATATATTGTTCACACTCGGAAAAAGATGCATTTTTTATTTTCACTTTCCTTTTAACATATGACAATCAGTCGCAATAGTGTTATTTATTTTCAACTTGTTATAAATCACATACAATGTTAATAGATCGAGCGAGGTGTACTTTACTGCATATTTACCCTTGTTAGAGACAAATTAATTTTAAACCCAAGTTCAGTAACGTAACATTTTATTTTTATAAATCACTTGTTGAAACGGATAAACGGCGTTGCAGTGACAGTTTTAATTTAGTATACATTTTGTATGCGGCAAAAGTATTTAGAGGAAAGTAATGCGACATCACATTTTACTGTATATATACTCTATCTCTTTATAAAGTTTCATGTATTATCCAAAGTAAAGTAGTTTAAACATCTGTGCCTATTTTACAAAGAACAGAGAAAACGCATTTATCGAGAATTATATATATACTACAAAAAACTTGTAAAGTTAACTCGCATAACTTCGTTTCTTTTCAAATGATTTAATCGCGTTCGTAAATCATACTTCAGCCAGTGTTCTCTTAAACTGTTTGCTATTTTGTATAGCGATTGTATATGTACTAGATTTGTATAGCATTTTAATCTCTTTAATGGCGTATATCTCTTTAATATCGTATATTATTGGATACTTTCGAGAGTATTAATATTGCGTTAGACTTGCCTTGTGTATTTGTCGTTTTATTTGTAAGGCTGCAGAAAAAAAAATGAGATAATCATTGAAAAAATCGTTCTATAATCGCTTAGTGTCTATTTAAAGTTCCGTTTTTGGAAATAACGATTTAATATTCATGAAAAAAAAAAAAAAAAAATTTGCGTGGCTCTTGAAAAAAAATTGGTAGCTACAGCTAAACTTACAATGAAAGGAAAGTAATGTTTCTCTAATGACGAGCGCATTCGAGATAATTGATGATATAAATATAAAAACCAAACCGCCAAGTAAACCAATTTTTGCCAGTACGTTAACTCGATGCATTTTATATATAATCTTGTCTCCTTTTGCAAAACTACAAAACTCGCAGATCTGATGTAACCGTCAGGAATATAAAAATTAGAAAATACATCGGTAAATATTTATAGCGTTATTAAGTTATAATTTAAATGTGGAAGTAAAAGAAAGCTGTGCTCGTGTTGATTAAATTATGCGGCGATTTATTTTTTTTTGTCTAATATTATAAGTTTCGTTCTAGAAAATTTGATCCTGCGTTGTATGTACGAAATTTTTGTTATCGATACTCGTGACGTACTTCCAATCTGTTTTCTTGTGCGAAGTTAGAAGAAATCCGTAGAAACCTGTCTTGCCATTCGTATAAAGCTAGATACTAGATATAATAAAATACTACTTTATGTAACTCTCTTGATTAACTCTTTCGAGTTTTTTTGGCGACGCGATAAATTGCCGTGGAATGAAAAGTTACCGATTCAGTGTCCAAGGATCGCTTGAGAATCTGTCTCGAAAGAGTTATACAAGATCAATTGTTTTTTCACGATTATATATTGCAAAGAGAAAACGCGAAATTGTATGCTGGCGCTATTATTTTCATTGTCAATAATGTATAGATTAAACCACGCATTAAATATTTTTTAATACTTTTTAGAAGTTACGCTCACGGCTTTAGTTTGAATTATCTCTTGTTTTAGCAGCGTGCGAGCGTCGTTGAGCCGAATTTTTCGAGTACGAATAGCGGCGATGAATTGTTTCTTTCTTTAGCTTTTTTTTTCAATTATATTTGATATTTTTTTTAATACATCTGAAGTTTTTACAATGTCCCGGTGTTATGTAGATATTTGAAACGGAAGAGATGTGTAAATGATATCTTCGAGCCAGTTTCGATCTGTAAATTATGTCTCATTCGTTACGTACCTTAGATATAATGCTAAGCATTAAAAAAAAAAGAAAGCTATAAAAGATCCAGGGAATAAAAAGATTCTATTATACTGTATTACACGCGCGTGCGAGAAGAGCTTACTAACACAACAACTACAATAAGCGCGGAAGGATAAGTGCCTTCTTGTAAGAACAAAAAGAAAAAAAAATAGCAGGAAGCCGACATACCGTTTGTAACGTAACTTCAGAAATTTGTCAGTCTGTACATTTAATTTTTCTTTCCAGCGCGTGCTTCTCTCTCTCTCTCTCTCTCTCTCTCTTTCGATGAGACGTATATAATCTAATTGCTATGAAATTTTGGTAGGACTCCAGCTGTTCTGCCGCTACGAGAGCTGGTCTCGCGTTTCGTTATATCGTCATTTAAGTAATATATGCATGTAAGATACCTTTTGTTTCTCATCTGTTAGATTTATTGTCCGCGCAGGAAGATTATAGCTGTGTATAAAGTAACAGTGGGGAAATATAACGGAGTTCGATTTGAACGAAACATTGGAGATATGGACGAGTATGTACGAGTTACCTCTTTTTCTTCTACGTAAAAAATTACGAGAAAATTTAGAAAATTACTCGTCGGTCGATAAAGAAAAAAAATTACGAGTTGCTCAAGGCTGAGCGACCGGGTGTTCAACGATTTTGAGCACATAAGTTTATCGAGCACACATACAATCACGTTTCACGCGCGATAAAATTTTGTAAGTTCCTCTAAGCGCGTGCCGCTTAAGAAAGTAGTGAAAAAAAAATTAACAATTAGGAGGAATTACCTATATTTATTATATAAATCATTTTTACAATCTAAACAGCATCGACGTCACGCTGATAACACGTGAAACGCCGTCGTATCTCTCGCTGCTCGAGTACCCTCAATTTTCCACAGAATACCTTCGCCGCGTACCGCATGTAAAATAACTTTAGAGCTCGAAGAGCCGCGATTAAAAACCCTTTTGCACCGCGCATACCTGGCGTGCGGTGATGCTCATAAATTACGCTACAAACAAATCTCATTCGGGAAAACGAGTAACTTACGCATTACGGCAAGTTGGATATGTAATAAATGTATATTGTTCAAAATATAGACAGTAAGTCGACGGTAGATGATTATACTACTATAACGCAAAAAAATATATATAAAACATAGCATTAAATGTAATTTGTAATACCAACGTCACGGCATTAGTGAGCACGATCTTCCCTTCCCGCCCCTCGTAATACAAGATTTCGAGTGCTTCGGAAAGGAAAGAACTACTATCTACCCGCCCCCTCCCTCCCCCCCACTGCGTAATCTCGTGAAGTGTCGCGATACGAATGAAGAGGATCCAAGCTTATCACTCAGAAGAAAAGGTACACGTGTGATGTATGATAATTAAATCAATTTTATTTCTCGTAGCCAACATCTCGGGGCCCGATAATGTGAATGCCTAACATCGTCTGAAATCGTTGATGCTCCTTTCCCTTTTTTTTCTCTCTCTTTTGACATTTTGGTTAAACATCAAAATCGATAGAACGGCGTACGTCCCTCCCCCGTGCTCTCGTGGCACGTGGCGAGTGTCTATCTTTGCAGTCGAACATTTACATGAATGATAACACTGCTGAGCATACTACCTACATTTATAGCTTTTTTTTTTTTAGGGAGAATACGCGAGATACATCCACCGAAGAGCCTACCTCTCGGCTTTTGTGTGCACCGTTTTACAATTTTTTTTTTGTGATCTCTTCTCGCACATTTCCGGGCGTACTCTAAATTCGGATAAAAGAAATTCGCCTCTTATCCCTCGCCAACCTCCCGCCGCAGTATGCTCGCCTAGCACGTGGAATTCGGAAATAGAATATACATGTACACACACACACATGATTATGCGGAAATTTGTATAAATAAACGTGTCGATGTGTGTAATTATATTCCTTTGGTATCGGACATTTTCTCTTTTTTTTTAATTATTTTTTTTTAATTAATTCGGGGACAACGTAGGATGATATAACGTACTTGATGCTAAATCTATGCACACCAAGTATTATTCGTTCTTCTTCGCCGACTCGTCCTTCGCCTCCGGGGGATCGTCCTTGATCGCGACCTGCTTCTTGCTGTCCTCCAGTTGCGCCTCCATCTCGCCGGAGAAGCCGAACTCGTTCACCCGGGTGTGGTCGGTCTTGTATATCCATCTTTGGTACAAAAATATGAAGAAAACAATGTCGTCGCGGAAGCAGCCGATCCTGTACAACGTCGGCATCTTTATCACAAACGCAAAGATATCGTCGATGAACGTGTTGAGGAATTTGTACGACAGCATACGCCATGGAAGATGCGCGACGCTCTTCAGTTTGTAGTTGATAAACAGCTGCGGCGTCATCATGATGAATCCGAAGGTCAGGAGGAAACCGTAGAGCATACTGAGGACCCAGGAGTACCAGCCCTTGTGCTCGAGGTACATCAGGGAGTAGATCGCGTATCCGCCCAGCAGCGGATAAAGCGCCCACGAGAGGTACTTGAAGGCGAGCCTGTCGTACTCCTTCGTGGAGGACTCCACGTACGATCCCTTGTCTTGGAATGATATCTTCGGAAAGATCCCGAGCACTCTCACCTCCCGGTTGACGTTAATGTCTACGACCTTGTTGATCTTCCACACCTCGATGCACAGGCCGATCGCGCAGCTGATGCGCACGACCGTGTTCGTCTCGTTGTCCAGAACGTAAAGTAGAACGACGAGGGACTGGAATACATTGAAGAATACGGAGCGTACCGACAAACCCTCCAAGGATTTCCGGTTGTTCCAGAACTGGATGTCTGAAAGGCATAAGAAGAATTTTTCAGATTGCGGCTGCACAATATATATATACACGTGTCGCAAGACATGTTTTCTCTATTATTTGTTGGAGACGATTTTTAAAAGCTCACCATTCTTAAATGCTAAAAATTCGAACACGCTATGCAAAATCGACACAACTATAGTCATTCCTAGCAGATATGGATTCGTTTCGAGTAAGGTCTCTTTCAGGGTATCTTGATCGTTATCGTCGTCGTCGGACGCCTCTCCTATGTGAACAATGACAATAGACGATGTAACTTACTCAATCACAATTCTTCGGTAAAATATAAAAGAAAAAATCTTCGTCTTAATTTTTCTTTTTTTTTCGTGACTTTTGAAAATGTAACAAACCCATGAACGACGACGTCCATTTATTTCTAACGGACTGTGCCGCGTATATCTGCCACTTGAACAACGAGAGCGGCTGGTAGGTCAACCTGAGCTCCAATTGCTCTATGGTATTATTTAACGGTTGATAGTCCCGCTGCATGTTCCAAAAATCATTCATATATAGTATCGGCTTGTAAGAATTTCCACCAGGTAAGAAATGTATATCTAAGAGAAGAGCAATATGGAGTGTTTTCGATTTACAATTCAACATGTCTGTGCTTACAATTTAAGTATGTATACATTTGTAAAAACTTACATTCGTCCAGCGGCTGCGGCAGTTGGCCGTACACCCAATTGGTTTCATCAAACACTAAATTAACAGTCAAATTTGGATGCCAGTGCGACACGTATTCCTGATCCATTAACTCGGCTTTCTGCAAGAGTTCACAGTTCAGCATACACAATATATATATATATATATATATATATATATATATATAAATAAATAAATACGGTGGTAAATTTGAGAAATTAATCGAGACACGCACCGCTATCTCCTCCTTGCTGGCCGTGCTCTCGCCGGTCAGCAAGTTGTGCCGCTTCTGGTATCGGATTTTCTTAAACTTGTTCAACATCTTTCGCGAGTAGGACATAAAGTCGCCGGCGTAAACGTCCTTGCCGGCCCTCGGGTTCGGCGACTTCCCGCTCTTCGTGATGTACACGTGCAGGTAGATCGAGCCGTTTCGCTTTAGCCGCTCGGACGGGACGAACGTGTGCTCGAGCACCCGGGACCCGTCGCGACTCGGCCCGCCGTACCAATCCCCGTAAATCAGACCCTCTTCGAACCAAATCAAAGTTCGCGGATCGTCAAACCTTTTGAAGTTCTCGGACTCCGACAGGTAAACACTAAGGTCAAATAACGTTCCATTCGAAAATATATTTACAGCTTGTAGGCGCGCGTCGCCGACGGCGTTGGGAGACTTGGGATTATTATCGGAGGAGCGTCTGAAGAGGCTACTAATGAAATAAATTATGAGGGCTCGTATGATCAGTGATTTCGTTATGGCGAAGAACGACTCTAAACGCGACTGTTGTGCCTTGTTCTGCCGCTGCTCGTTATTCTCCGCGTTGTTCGCCTGCAAGAAAAAAAAAAACTGAGAATTACGATCATCGGGCACCTCGACCGATACCGAGATTGTTACGTCGACGCGCGAGAGAGCATTTTATATTTACAAATTTATAAATAAATTTTAACACGCACACTGTCCATCTAACTGTGCGGTACCGCGCGCGTAATCTTTTATTGAAGAAAATAAAAAAAAAACAGAAGAAAAAATTCATGTTTAATTTAAAGAGACATATATGATATATTGATGTAAACTCTCTCTCTCCCCGTCTGCATTCTCTCGAGGAGCACCTCCTCGCGGAGGCGGCCGTGGGGTAACAGAGATCAACAATAAATGTAATATGGCAAATTAACGCACGTCTGTCTCGTCATCATTATTTTGCTCAGTTCTCGGAACCAGTTCACCGTTGGGCTGATTGTTATCCATATTTTCTGTGACATCTACTTCCGCGTTGTCACGATGCTCGTCCTCGGTAACTACCATTTTTTCTCCCGTCAGGTCCCGTGAGCTTCTTTCGGTCATGAAACAAAGGAAACCCAGATGCCTGGCGCGCAACGCCGCGAAGAGATGATGTGTCAAGTCAGGGCGATCTTTAAAGCCCGTGCACATGCGTGGCCGCGGGTATTAAAAAAAAGATACGAGTTAGTTAAATCGACTGCAATATTTACTGTAATAGAATCCTGATAAATCTTTAGATCTTTTTTTTTGCAATTTTATCGATTTTTATGATATTCAGATTTTTTAAAATCTCTAATTTTTAAACTAAAAGCGGCAATTTTCATACGTTTCGTTTGACAGAGTTAGGGCCATCGTTTGTATAATAAAAAAAAATCATGATTTTAATAGTGCATTATTCAATTATAAATATTAATTAATATCAATAATCGATAATATCGACACTCTTCAATTACCTCCGGGCCCCTTCGATGGCCACGAAAATTTGTCCAGAATTGCAGATCTTTAACAGCATTTCATCTAATAAAAATCGGAAATGAGAATTGTCCTAAAAGGAAAGAGAGAAGGAAAAAAATAATGGGATTAAAAATTTTTAGAAATCTCGAATTTGTACAAATTGTTTTTGAATTTTCAAAAATCGTTTTCGCGATTTTGTCAGTCCATCAAAATTGGACATGATACGTGTATGCGGAACGTTCGGTACGCACGCACTCTCCGTGCTTCTCTCGCCATGTGCGCGGGTGTGTGTACGACGACGTCATCGACGTTGTTTTTATTTTCTTTTTTTTTTGTCTAACAAACTGCGCGCGAGCCGCTACATGAAAGCGGACCCAATTTACGGTGGAATCCGATCTGACAGAATTTCCCGCGTATTTACAGTTTCGCACGTATAAACAATCCCGTGTAAGTGGATTCTAGGAGCGTCAAATTTTTAGGAATTTCACTGATGTCAGTGCAAAATGAATCTGACAAGTGTTCTTCAACGACGGGAGAGAGGATTCGGTAGGTAGACAGGATCGTATACGGGAGAGGGATTTAAACGGCCGTTTGTTTTTGCACGTTGTGGCAGGTTATCTCCGTCTCTGCCCGTAATGATCGCCGCTAAGTCGGATTGATTAAAGTTGGAGTACTGTTGAATCATTTCAATCGATATTGTCTTCGTCGAATTTTAATGACACTTTGCAGCTACAAAACGTAATTGTAATGACACATTTTGTGATTGGAGAGAACTGGAATGATGTTAAAACATGATTTGCCATTGCGACGATACTTCTGTCAATTTTTTAGTGATACGTTATTTTTTTTTTTAATCAGAATGATAATTTTTATTTGTAGAAGATTGAAGTAAAATAAATTGTTAAAATAGCTTGTTATCGCAGTTATTCTGCAAGAATCTAATAAAGTTAATTAAAATTAATAAGAAGTAAATTAAGAAAAGAGAATATATGATAAATTAAATTAATGATTAAATTCTGTCTATTTTAATGGCACACGTTATTTTTTTTTTAGTCAGAACGATAATTTTTATTCTTAGAAGATTGAAGTAGAATAAATTGTTAAAATAGTTTGTCATCGCAGTTATTCTGCAAGAATCTAATAAAGTTAATTAATTAGAATTAATAAGAAGTAAACTAAGGAAAGAGAATATACGATAAATTAAATAAATGATTAAATTATGTCTATTTTAATGGCACACCACTGTACGCTAACTCCAACTGATACACTCGATATTCTGTGCAGGAATGACAGCTGATTATGACGTCGCTCTTTACCGCCTGAAATGCTACTACGACAACGTGTATCGTGGAATAAGTCCGAATGCAAACGCGCCCGATTACAATCCCGAGCCGCCGGTGTTCGCGTGCCGTTTCTGCACGACGCCGGGACACGAGGAGGTTCTCGCGTTGGCGAACGAGGACGGGAAGGTCGCTTTTCAAGACACCAAGATCAAGGCCGATCATAATCAACCGTTGGAAGGAAAACTGGTAGTTGTTTATCTCGATTGCGATTTAACGGATTTGCCCATCTCAATGTGTGAGCGCGGAAATATTAACGGGACGTTTTGTATATTTTTTTTCCAAGGCACACTGTAATGCGATCTTCGATATCGCCTGGATGCCTGGAGAGACGAAGCTGGTTACGGCGTCGGGAGACCACACGGCACGCTTGTGGGACGTCGCCAGGCCGGAAATAACACAAATTAATTACTTTCACGCGCATACGAGAAGCGTGAAAACGGCAGTGTTTCGCGACGACGACAGAGGTACTTGACTGACGCTCCCACCTACGGATTTGTCTTTCGTTCAAAAATATTGCTGTAGCTGGCACGTTTTCCTTTTTTTTGGTCTTTTTTTTCATTTTTCAGATGAAGGGTAAAAATATAGCGACATCTTTCACGATCTAATTTCTTATGTCCCTCTTTAAATCTGCATGAGAAATTTGATCGCTGCTTGTAACGTCTCGCGCAATTTAGAGTATCTCAAAGTCTTTTAAAATTTTAGCTGTCTTTGCAACGGGCGCCAGAGACGGTTTTATCATGATATGGGACATCAGAGCGAATCACAGTGCGAATCAACAGCCTAAGCCGGATAATTGCATTGCCAATGCGCATAGCATCGGCGGCACGGGTAACGCGAGGCGGAAGTCGCAAGCGTCGCGGGCACACAGTATTACCGGTCTGGTGTTTCAGGACGACTTCACGTTGATCTCGTGCGCCGCAGGCGACGGGTGAGACATTTTGCATTGCCTCCTTCGCATCTGAGACGATCCTCATAGTAATGCCATCCTCCTCCTTTTCAGCCTGCTGAAGGTGTGGGACCTGCGCAAGAATTACACCGTCCACAAGAAAGAGCCGATAGCCAAGCATCTAATGAATTACTCCGGGAACAGTACTAGGAACGGTTTCTCCTCCCTGTTGATATGCCCGGCTAGAATTACGCTATATGCGAGCTGCATGGATAATATTATATACGCTTACAACGTATCGTCGTATAATCGTAAACCGGGTAAATATCCCTCTTTAAAAAATAAAATTTATTCTACTCTAATTCGAACGAAATGGAATTATGGAAAAATTCTTTGCGACAGTGGCGGAGTATTATGGACATCAGAATCGTACGTACTACGTAAAGACCTGCTTGAGTTCCGACGGCCGCTATCTCGCCAGTGGATCCAGCGACGAACTCGCGTACATCTGGAACACCAACCGACCGGGCGTGCCGCTAGTTAAGCTGTCCGGCCACACGGACGAAGTGACCTGCATCGCGTGGTGCAGTGTGGGAGAAACTAAGGTTCCATTTTGGCGTTTATTAATATGACACAATTCGGAAAAATACATATTACAATCTACATTTGACAGTGCGATATGCACATTTCTAATTTCGAGAATCATTTCAGATAGTGACTTGCTCCGACGATGCTTGTCACAGAATATGGAAGGTCGGACTCGAGCACGAAGAGGACAACAAAGAAGTGATGATACGCGGTCAGGCTGAAGTTGTAGAAAAATTTTTTTTAGAAAAGTTGCAACTAGAAACTACCCCAAGTTCTCGACACTCGCATACTTGTCAAGAAACTACACCAAGTTCGGACGAACACAAGGCATCTGTGTTTACCCCGGGTAAGAGTGAAAGTTGTTTGCAAAGTATCGCGAGGTTTGGTGCAAATAGATAAAAGATAAATTCAATAGTATGAATATCTTAATAAGGAATATAAATTTAATAAGTCTCAGTTTGGAAAATTTTTATAGATCGCACGACAAATTTTGAAACTGAATAATTTAAAGACTTCCTTGAGCTTTTCAAAATTTGTGATAAATTCTGTATTATTTTGTCTGCATTATTTTTATTAAAAATATTCTTATTCTACAATTACGGCTCCCCCGAGTCTAGTAAGAAAGATTATAGCTCTTCAAAATTTGTAATAAATTTTGCATGATTTTTATGAGAAATATTTTTGTTCTACAGTTACGACTCCCGAGTCTAGTAACGAAGATTATAATGGAAATAAGCACAATTCTGCCAAACGTAGTTACATGCAGATGATGGCATCAAGATCTGAGGGAAAATTCAAATGTATTTTATCACCCATTCACGAAAATCATGAGATGGTTGCGAAACGGGTTCATATGGATAATCGTGGTATGCGAAGGCTATTCAGTCCAGGTGACGAGATCGCTACTACGAGTAGAGATTACAATTCGGACGGAGCCAGTACGAGCCAGGGCACGAGCAAGGATGAAGAAGTTTTCTTTTCGCCCACGTTAAACCTGCCGAATTTCGTGATGGACGGTACGGCGCCGCATTTGCTTGAGATATCACCGCAAAAGTACAAGGAGCACGTCGATTGGTTAACGAAAATTAGAAAGGAAAGGTATGAACAAAAGAAGACTGCGTCAACCTCGAGTAGTCCAAAAACTCAAACGACGCCTGGCCGAAGAGCCAACAGGTCGCGATCAACGGAGCCCCAAAAAGTTACAAAAGCAACAAAAAGTGTTTCTCTATTGGACTTTTTTAAAACTGTTAGTAAAAATAGTGAGAAGGACCTACCTTCGAATAATAATAATATTAATTTACCCTCAAGTAGTACGACTTGAAAATAATATGCATAGAATTAGAATTTAATATTTTCAAATTACATCTTGAAATTGTTTCGGTTTTAGTTCAAAATTTTTTTTATCTTGTAACATAAGCGGAAGATCTCGGTCGCTAATATAGAACAATTTAAACTAATAGCGGACTTTTTTCAAATAATAGCAATTTATTACCAACGAGTACATCTCTGAAAGTAGACGTAAAATTTGACAATTTACAATTGTGGTACTCACGAATCAAATTTTGAATTTTGCTTTTCAGTTTTTTATTTAATATAAAAGCAAAATTTTTCTTAAAATCCCGGTCATTAATGTTATGAAATATATGAAACTGCTTGCTTGAATATAAAATGACACTTGCATGGATATAGCGCGTTTGCATGGTGTAGTGAATATAAAAAAAGACTGGTAAAACAATAGTTTTTATGCCGATTTACGAAGTGATGAAATGCGTGAAAGGAGATATTAAAGTTTACTCGCAATAATGTACCTTGCGTAGTTTTCCAGATTTAGCATTTAAGACGATTTAATTAAGTTGTAAGATAACGATCTGAGAAATTTTTATAAGCACTATATTTGACAAGTATAAGCATGCATTACATTAGCGCAATGAATGTATTATATAAATATTAACGACCGTTATATAGTTGAAGTATTTTTTGTACCCGACAATAAATTATTTTTTTATAGAAAAGATATATTAAATAATTTTTTTACATAACATTTGACTCAACAACGTTTGTTTTATCGTCCATCTACCCGTTTTTAGGTAATCTAAAAATCACTGTGATATGAGCGTTAAATGCTGTAAAATAGAATTTGAATTGTTTTAAAGTATTATTAGCTTGACTCGGGACAGAAAATTGTTACAGACTGTGGGAGTAATCTTATTTGAATAGGCTTCAATTCGTACTCTTCGTGATCAATGTAAAACATCCGATCTTCGTTTGAATTCGTCTGAAACAAAACAAAGTAACATTATTGAAATCTCTGAAGATTGATAATTTACTACGAAATATAATTACGTATTATTTTAATATATAATATATTTAATATATAATGTTGTATTAATAGTTCTGAAGAGAAACAGGAGTTACCGTTTCAGGATACAATTCAATATCCTTTGCGTCTAATATTGAATTCGTTCGCGGTTCTTTATCCTTTTCTTGTTTCCATCCTTTCTCAACAAATGCGGTATAACTAATATTTTCTGGACCTTGACATAAAATTGAATGTGTTTCAAATTTCAATTATACTTGTAATATTTAAATAATGATGCGCTTGGATATAGATATATAAAATATATTATTACCTAGAGTTACTTTTAACGAAGGCGCTGATTGAACTGATACATTTTCGGTCTTTATGCACAGTTCGGTTGTTGAAATAGGCATCTCATGAAATGCGCCACAATCTTCATTCACTACTTTACTATAATCGACATGATTGTCTGAAACGCATATTATATCATATAATATACTCTCACTTATTAAATTTATACGTAGATATATAAGATGTTACTAAAACACTTGGTAAATATCTTTGCTTTAATTTTAGTTTACCCTTCAAATTTTTGGTAAATATCTTTTGCTTTAATATTAGTTTATCCTTAAAATTTTCCTTAGAATATTTCTTTCTCTGTCTTTTCATCTTTTAATTTTAGTAACATCCTGAGTATAGTTAATTTCAAATTTCACAAGAATTTCTTTACCAGAAACAAACGTCTGTTTTCTTGGCAGAAATGCATGCCACCATCTCCTGTTCGAATTCGTAGACTGATGGTAAGACAAATCTTTGGAATAGCAACACGAACATCCTTTGCAAGGATTTGTATATTTCATTAGTGCGTTGCACTTCCAGTTCAAGTTCGACTTGTAACCGCTGAACACGTAAGCCGCATACCTGTTTTCGCAATCGAACGCAGAGAACATGAGACATAATACGGACGGAGGCGCGGAAAGTGTTTGTTTGAAGAAAATTAAGAGAATTAACTAATTGTAGGAAAATTAATATTAAAATTAATGATTAATTTACTTGCGTAAGGGACCCCAATACCAATATTTGTCAAGGCGTGCGTACGTGTCGCTCCAAGCTCCCCATTCTATGCCTCCGACAGCATAAACCGGTTTGGTGGGATTTTCTGGATTGCTCTTAAATTAAATTTGTTTTTTCAATTTTAATGCAATTTGATCTCTGCGCCAAACGGACGAGACTTATTCCTATGTCCATGAGGAAAGTACGTACGCTCAGCTGTTTGATCTCGATGGCGTCTATTGATTTGAGATTGTTCTTAACGACTGCCATCGTCGCGTCGATCATGCGGTGTACGTCGATCAAATCCTCGTACCCTCGATAAAATACACTCGCGATCGTGTTCGTGTTGCCCAGCGGCAAAACACCGATGGGACATTGTCTGACCGAGTGAAGATTGCGCTCGTACTTCCTCATCAGGCCGGTTATCACGTCCGACAGGGTGCCGTCCCCGCCCGCTACGATAATAGCGTCCGTAGGTGTTTCCAGATTCGTTATTGTGTTACGCGCGTGGCTTCCCGATTGCGTGTCGATGACAGTCACCGAGATGCCGGCCAGGTGCAACAGAGGCTCGCAGTACTTCTGGAATAATTTCTTAGCCTTTCTGAAAGAAGAGAGAAAGAGAAAAAAAACGAGATCAGCAAGGAGCGAAGAGAATTAGGTTCCTCTCGTGTCACAGCATTGAAATTCTCGCCGAACAACCTTTTCTTGGCGGCCGGATTCAAAATGACAGTCACATGACGGGGCTTGATGTTCGTAGGGCAGGAGGCGTCTCCGTATTTGGCTATATCTTCGCAGCTCTGGCGCATTAGTTGCTCCGTACTACAAAATGCAATACAAAATTCAATGATACAATGATTCAATGATACACAAAAAAATTGTAAGGTAAACATACCAGTGGCTGAACATGTATCTATATCTGAACACAAAATTTATTAATCTTAAATACTTTTTTATTATTATATCAAAATTTAATTGTAACAATATTTAAAGATTACAATTAAATTATAATATTATGAAAAAAATCATTTAAAAATAAATTTTTGTGTACTTGTTCAGTTATAGATACACGTTCAACCACTGGTACATTTATCTTAATTACATTTGAAGCACGGGCGTCTGCAGGGGGGCAAGGAGGGGCACTTACCCCTCCCCTGAAATCAAACAAATATAAGAAAATTCAGATTTTGCTCTCTTATTTTTACAAATAATAAATATGTTTGTCAAATGTGAAAGCTAAAATACAATGTTTGGACATTTGTATTAAAAATTTGGATCATGCTTCCCTCTAGAAAAAAGCCTGCGGACGCCCTTGATTCGAAGTATTTGTATGCGAAAATAATTATTTACTGTAAAAAATATATATTTACAGTCTAATATCTATTCTATATTCTGTATATCTACAATCGCAAGTGGACGTATGCATATACAATGGTACAAAAAATTGTAATTACATTCCATGTCTCGGTATGTAAAGATGATATATTATTTACTGTAAAATATATATTTATATGGTCTTATCCATTCTACATTCTATATTTACAATCGCAAGTGCGGACATGTGCATGTAAATTTAAAGGGAAGAATTCGAGGTTATGTTCCCCATGGTCACTCACTCGTACGCCTGCTTGCCGTACGATACGCCGTACGAGAGGGCCGCGGCTCCCGCCACGGATTTCTTCCAGTTATTCCGTATCGTCTTCAGCAAATTCAACACCTTAGCCATCGTCATTTAAAATTCTTCACAACACCATTCGGAGTTCAGCAGCCGCTCTCTCGCTGTCACTCGGACATTCGTCTTTATCTCTACTCTATCCCTCTCCTCTCGCGATCTATTCTAATTCCTTGAATTCCTAAATTTTACGTTATGTAAAAATATATAATTCCTCAATTTCACTTCGTTTCCATTCCATATATAAGAAGTAGAAAAATTACAGCCGCTCTCACCGACTCGCGCACAGTTGTTTCGAATTTTGCGTCGAGTCGCGTGTTCGCCCAGGTGTACCAATCGGGTGGACTTGGGAAATAAAATGGAGATAGAGAATTTGTTCCGCCGGGTGAAATTCATGGGTCCAGACTGATAATCCCTATCTCTCTAGTTCCGCATTCCGCGTGTGTGTGTGCAGTGCGGGTGCGCTCGAGTTCCTCTTTCAAACAAATCAAGATGTCGAAGAGAGGTAAGTTTCGCGACACAAGTGCGAAAATCCGGGAAAATCGGTGCCGGGACGACGCATCGGTCCCGAGCGCGAGGACGGGTGGACGGCCGAGCGTCGCGTACGCGCGACAGGTCGGGACGTTGCCACCGTCGGCGACGTTTACGCGACAGAAAAAGAAGCGAACCCGCGGGTTCCTTCGCCCTCGCAATGCCGCCTGTCTGAAATGCCTGTTTGTTGTTTCCTAAGGACGTGGTGGGTCGGCTGGAGCCAAGTTCAGGATATCCCTGGGTCTACCGGTCGGTGCGGTCATCAATTGCGCCGATAACACCGGTGAGTCTGCGAGACGGAGTGTAGAACACCTTTTGCACGATGCCTAACCTCCAGAGGGGCAACCGCGCGCGGTTCTTGTGCGTGAGGGGCACATGGTTGACCCGTCGTTCGCGAGTGTCAAGTAATTTTTGCAACTGTCCCCGCGTTTTTTCGGTCCGTTGATCGATTCGATCACTTTTGCTTTACTGTGCGTCAAACGCCGGGTCGTATTTGAAGTACAAGAATTCTAACAAAAAAAAAAACGTAATGACAGTATAATTAATATCATCAGTCAAAAGCTGCAGTTACAAAATTGTATCTAACTATCCACTGTTATTTATTTTTCTCTTGAACTTAACGCTTTGTAACAGAAGCAACTATTTGATAACACTACATGTTAATTGCATATTGAGTGATTAAATTGTTGAGAGATTGTAGAGGCTGACGCAAGACTTGTACGCAACCATAAATCTAAGGATGAGATAATTTTCGTTCGATTTTAATTCTAGCAGATGTATTCATTTATTAATTTCTATCCCACCGATGATACATCTTTCTGTAACAACGCTGTTGTTTCTTAGGCGCCAAGAACCTGTATGTCATCGCAGTGCAAGGAATTAAGGGCCGGTTGAACCGCCTGCCAGCGGCGGGATCCGGCGATATGATTGTTGCCACCGTGAAGAAGGGAAAGCCTGAACTCAGGAAAAAGGGTAAATCAATTATTTTCATGCATATTCCTTTTTTTCCCCTCCCCGTCACATGAATGCAAGCCTCTTTGGAGGGACTTTGAGTTAAGCGCGTGCGTATCGTTGCAGTGATGCCCGCGGTGGTCATACGGCAACGGAAACCATTTCGCAGGAAGGACGGAACGTTCATATATTTTGAGGACAACGCTGGCGTGATCGTCAACAACAAGGGTGAAATGAAGGGATCAGCTATCACAGGACCTGTTGCGAAGGAGTGCGCCGATTTGTGGCCCAGAATCGCATCTAACGCTAGCAGCATCGCATAGTTCACCTGTATAAATCTACTGTCCTTTACAAAATAAATCCAAAAATAATATCCGGTGGCGTTCAATATTCATTCTGCTCGTAGTGTGGCATCGCGTCTGTATTCAAAGTCCGCATTGTAGGGAATAAGATGTCGTTTAAAAATTTTTTAAGAATTTACATTAATTTTTATTTGCTTCATAAATATTTTCAACGTCACGAGTTGCCAAGTTACGAAGGATCTTTTTCGTAGATTTAAAAAAATTACTGCTGTAAGCATCGTTAGATCTGTTCTTTACAGCCGAATGTTTGTTTTGTCCTTAAATAGAAAACGTCAATAAGATTATTGAGATTTATGAAATATACGTGCAACTTCGCGTGTTCCAATTTCACGTGGCACGAACGGTTAATCATCGATTAAATTAATAATTGAAGTCTCGTCCGTATACTCGGTGTGCCGCACAGGGAATTTTTCTCGCGGCGACCAATCACCGACTTCCTTGCTCAACAGTGTGAGTGGACCCAATTGGCGCACAGCTGATTGGTTATGTTACGGTCTTGTCACAACGAAGTTTTCGTTTTTCGCGTTCGCTCTCTCTCGACGGGGTTCGATCTGAAAATCGGGAAAAGTCGTGCCACCGTGTTTCGTTGTACACTACGTTCAGTGGGTGATCGAGACCGCGGACGAGGTGGTGTCGCGCGTTTATCGCCCATCCGTTTATTGTGATCCTACAATCCGTAGTAGCGGGCTGTGTGATTGGGAATCGGGGATTGCGCGGCCATACCGCGTTCTCACCGTCGGTGAGAGTCCCGTAGGTGAGTACCCCGTGCGCTCTCGACGGCGGTCAAAGCTCGTCGTCCGGGACGCGGGACGTTCTCCACTCGGGACGCCCCCCCCCACCCCGACGTCCCCTCGGCGCTCGCGGTCGCGTCGAGAGGACCCCCGACGTTTCCCTCGGCGAGGATCGAGGCTCTCCTGCATATAGCCGAGCGTCAATATACGCGCATTGCGTTACGTACGTACGTCGCTGGCCATCTTAGTAGATAATTTTCGCTGAAAAGAAGGGGCAGGGGGAAAAAAAGGGGGTCGGAATGCGAGCGGACGAAATTTATGTAACTGCGCGCGGGGATGTCACGTCGATACTCCGGCCGTCGCGAGCTCGAGCCTCTCGCGCGACGAAAATCGCCGTAAACGCGAGACCCTCTTTTTTTTTTGTTTTTTTTGTTTAAACGTTTCTCCCAATGACAGGATTGTATTACGGGTGACGATCGTGCGGAATCGGTAATGATATTGCGCCTGCAACTTCGACATGACGTTTTCCAACAATCAAGCGATTCCCTGCAGTGATTTACAACAGAGTTACATCGGGATGCGTCCTCTCGAGGG